GAGGTGATATGAATGAGTATAGTTACTGTCAAGAGAAAATAGTAAATGTGAGTAGTTAAATTTGGAAGCTGAGACATTATAGCTAGAAGTTTGAAAAGAACCAAATTTAAATTGATAAAAAACAATTTGAGATTATTTTTCAGTAATTAAAAAACCCTTAATTTTTATAAATATAAATTGATGGGTTTTTTTCTTATTTTAGTTTCTGAAAACATCGAGATACACTGGTTGAATTTCAGTATGTTTTTTCAAAGTTATAGAACCTAATGCAGAAATTTAATTATCCATGTAAAGATAGGATATCAGATTCGATGGTCAAATATTTTTGTCCTTAATCTCTTGAACAGGCACCATAGTACAAATTTAGGATAACTTAATGATCATTTCCTTCTCTACCCCAAGTCTTACTCTGCCATTTTCTCTGTAACAAAACACCTGTAACACATGTTTTTTCATACTTTACCACTTGTGATTCAGGGCAGAGGAGGAAGCAGAGATGGGAAAGGGAGAAAACCATTAAAAAAAGGTCATAGGTCTATGATGTAGTAATATTGTCATCAATGCTAATAAAGTTGTTTTGCTTACTGTAAGCAAACTGTTGCTCATTTGTACACTGATTCTCTAGTGACAACATAGGCATTTATAATAAATAGTTCAAATTCTCTGAGGAACACTATGATATGGGGATACAAATGGGTGGGTAATAAGTGTGAGAGGGGAATCACAGAATTGTATGTGTTGGAAGGGACCTCTGGAGATCACCTAGTGCAACCACCAAATGAGTGGGCCACCTCTTTGGCAAAGGTGGCTTCTGCATATTTAAGCTAAACATTTGGGTTCTGTTTTACACTGTGTAAAATGGGCCAGCTTAGAAGTTTAATAGTTAACATACCTGAAAGTATTCTACCTGTCAATATTTGTGAGGATCACTGCTCTGAAACTTCTGAGGAATACGAATTTGGACAGAGTTCCATTTTTGCCTCTGTGACCAACACTTTGAATTGTGACATGCAAAACTTCTGACCTAAGCTTTGGTGTGTGAAAATGTTAATGAGAAATCATCTGATGGCATTGGCAGTTTTAAATTTCAACCCAGCATAGCACTGGGACAGTTTGTGTTAATTTATGTGGGTTACACTGTATAGGCAGCTGGAAGGCTGGGGTGTATAGGGAGTACACCTTGGGATTGTCTGCATGAACACTCTGAATGTTACCTTCCGCACTTGAGACATGTCTCCTACCTTCTCTTGCAACTATATGTCTTGCACAGAAAAGAAAATGTAATTTATTGCAGCTAATTTCCATGTAAATATAACTATAGGCATCATTGTGCTTGAGTATCTGTAGAAGTCAGGACTAGGGATTTTTGCATGTCTCATCAACACAGAAAATACTAGACAGGCTTCTAGGAAAGGTACATTAGTTATGGCTTTAATTTGTCTACTGGTCAATCAGTGAACACAGAATTGTGCTAGGCTATGTGAACATTCTGCAGCAGATGAGAATTAGTAATAACAATTTTTAAAGTGAGTATGGAGGTAGAAACATTAATTTTGAAGCTTAGGCTTTGGTCACTTAATTGGGTGGAATGGAGTGTCACATCAATAGGTGGATTTTTTTCATGTGTTAGAAGACAGATGAAAGGTACCATAACCAAACCATTAAAGGTTTTTTATTGTTTTATTTTACCTTTTCTTCTGGATCTTTTAGCACTAATAGTGGTCCAAAATGGAATACTGATGCAGATTTAAGATTTTTGCCAGTAAACTCTCATAAATTCAATTACTTTCAGAAATCAAGCAACAGTAAGTATAGATTGTTGAAGTGCTTTAAGTGCAGAAACTGGACTTCAGAAGATGTGCAGCTTAGACACATATCTAAAACTACACTGGAAGTTAAAATTTTTATTGTATGTTTAACTCATCTCCACACCTGAGAAGAGTTTGAACAGATACAATTTTAAAGAAGCCTAAGGGAAAGGTGATTTGCTTTTCAAGCATTGGAACAGGCTACTCAAGAAAGTGGTTGAGTCACCATCCCTGGTGGTGTTTAAAGTATATGTAGATGTGGTGCTTAGGAACATTTAGGTTTGTACTTGGCAGTGTTAAATTGACGGTTGGACATAAGGGATCTTTTACAACCTAAACGATTCTATGATTTGACTATGTTAAAGCTTACTCATAGATTTCAAGGAAATAGGGTTGAGACATAAAGCTGTAGATGGCTTCAGACTAGTGGAAAAAAGTGCCTATTTCCTTTATGTTCCATGTTACCTCAGTGGAAGCAACTGAAATAGTTTTTTCTTCTGTCTCTGTTTCACGTAATGTACTGAGGGCAATATTTACAGTATTTGTGAAAAGTGTAAATCCTGTCGTTTTTTAGTTCTGGGTTTCTAATGAATCATTTCTTTTCTAATGAATCTTCTTTTGAAAAAGTGAAGAGCTAAAGATAGAAACTGATTTGGTTAAAGATAGAAGCTGATTTGGTTAACTTCACCATAGATGTTGACTGTGTATTGAGGTCCTGAAACTAGTTCTTTCTACTGAATGATGTAGTACATATCAATTTGAGTTACGTCTTTGTAAGGCTCTCTACATCTGTCCTGGTTGCAAAGAGGGGGCAGAACTTATCTCCATGTTGGTGCAGCTAAGTTATTCTATACCAACCACGTCATCGCTGGGGAGTGTGGTTTCAGGAAGGAAACCCCCAGAAGTGGGTGCCATTTTGCCTCGGTCTCTATCGTGGGAAGTTGTCAGCATCAGCCATGTGGACTCTGTCTTCTGCTGCCGCCATCCACCTCCTCTCATTTTTGAAGACTAACATTAGAAAGCTTTAAAATAGGAAGAATTTTGGTTGGAAACACTGAAAAAGGGCTTGAAGAGTAGGAAACCTGAGTTCTGTGTTTTTCTATTTGGAGTCCCTTAGGTGCATTTGACATGACTTGTTTGTTACTGTGCTCTGAGCTTCTTCCTACTGGAGCAAAGCTAAGTAACTCTTTGTTTAGAAATACAAGCGTATAAAGGAAGGCTTCACTATTCTCCTACTTACAATTTAAAATCCTTTATAGTGCTAAGATACTGATTTTTATGTCCGGAGCTGATAATACGAAACTATGTTCTTTAACCTCAGAATTGTGAATATTGATTCACATTATTTCTTTGGCTACCCTTTTGATGTTTTGATTTATCTGCTGATACCCACTGGAGCAGTAACTCCAGTGACATTACACTCTATATGAAAGCAAAACAATATTTTCAGTACACTGAAAAGAGTACTAATATTTAGCTAATAATTATGGCTGTCAGCTGTCAGTAGGTGAGAAAGTCAATAGAAGTGTGATTTCAGCAAGAGTAATATCAAGCAACCTTATTTTTATTTTTACTTGGGAATGTACCTTTTAATGAATGGTTTGTAAAAAGTTTAGCAAAAATAATGTAATTTCAATGAATGGAGCTAAAAGAAAAACAATGTTCCAAAAATCTTGGCAAGAAAACATAATGTCTTAATTAAGAAGTTCTAGTGCTCATATGGTCTTGCAAGATGATAGGAGGAATCAGCATGTATTTGTTTGAGGATGAAGTTACTTTTTATTGTCTATGGAAAAGCTAACTGAACCTTTCTCTAAGTATAATGGAGTCCACTAAATGGTAAATGCCAATTTCTCAGATAATCTTCTGGCAAACAAGCATGTTCCATGTGCTGTAAAGTATGTCAAGGTGCTGGTTCATGAGGGAGATTCTCTTGTGTTCACAGTTCTCCTGCTGGCCTTCCATTAAGCTCTATTGGAGGAGGGGCAAGCCTGCAAGCCTTGAAGCAGTGGGGGACCAATTATAAACTGTAGAGAAACAGAAAACTGTAAGTTGGAGGATATGGATGGAAGGAGAGACACTGGATAAAGAACAGTAGTGGTGGATGAATTCATCAACATTTCTCCTCTGGTTTGGGTAACTAATTCTAGTGCCCCAGTGGACAATAGTTGTTTTTTGGGCCTCTTATGATAGAGCATGGTTTCTATGTCATGACACCAACAGTTATAGGGATACTGTGATATGAAATCCGTCAGGGATGCAGTCCCTCTTCTGCTTAAGGGACTGGGATCTATTTCTGTCTGTTCTACAATGAAGATAATACTTAATGCTGAGACTGGTGTCCATGTTTGCAAGAGCTTTCTTCTGGGTTTTTATGTGGGGAGAAGTGTCCTGGAGGGGGCAGAGGGAGGACTCAGGGGAAAAGAGTACAACTTGATCTCCAGCTGTTCCTTAATTCTGTAGTGAAGAGATTCTGTAGGTACTATTGCTGTAACTTGTGAATATAAGGGCAAAAGGGCAGGGGGACAAAGTGGCATAGGCAAGGACTGGAGATTATTTGGAAATGCCAATGTTGTGGCAGTATCAGCATGTGATAGGTTTTGTAGTGTATGGATTGGAAGGCAGTGAAAGCAATGCTGTATTTTTTGAGAGGTGTGTCAGAGCAGGTCAGGGAAGCTCCAGATTAATGAGGTTTATATTTCAGTGAGGAATAGAGTAAGTACTGCATGTCACAGAAGCATCCCCACAACTTCTAAAAAATAATTCCTTTCACATCGTTTTTTCATAAATTCCTGCGTTAACTACTTGAGATTTTTTGAGGAAGTCAGTAAAGCAATGAAAAGGTAGGCGAGGGTTTATTTCATTCTTGTTGCCCAAAAGGTTTATGTGTAGTGCTATTATCAGTTGTTTTTAGGTAAACTAGAAAGGGCAGGAGAGAAATCAGTATATATGTTAAAGAATAATAAGTAAGAGTTGGAACACTATACAATGATTGGACTATTAAAATAAGCTTAATTTCCTTAAATACAGATGTTAAGTCCACATGTCCTAACACTAAGACATTGTTTGGCACTCACCTGCAGTGTTATTTAGAACTCATTCATACATCAGCATCTTCTGACTATTCCTTTTATGGTATACCATATCCTCTTTTTTTTCCTTTTGTTTCTAATTGTTGTACTTTTCCACCAGGGGATGGGATTGCCAAGGAAAGTAGTCCATTTATTAATAGTGCAGAGTTGGACAGGGGAAACATGTATGAAGGAAAGAATATGGCTCTCTTTGAGGTAAGTTAAATACTCCCAAAACATACTTAGCCTTTAACTGGAATGAGCAAACATCTGTTTTCTTTCTGTTGTGAAATGTAGTGGGGGAAAATGAATTTTAATGACCTTTTTGTAGTTTGATTCCTGCTAACGTTCCATTTCAGTGGATTTGAGTGACATAATGCACTAATAGTACATTAATGTGAATACATGAAATAAAGTCTTCTTGCATTTAAGTTTTCTGGGATAGGATCTAGAAATTGTTGTTAGAGAAAGCTGCTGGAAGTTAAATCTATTAGTTTTAACACAACAGTATTCAGTTTTAAAAGGATTAGAAAATTGATTTGTTCACCAAGGGAATCACAGACTTCTCTTTAAGCAGGAAAACTCTAAAACAAAGTTACAGGCCATGACTTAGCTGTATTGTCCAATTACAGTGTAGAGCATACCATAGCAATTTTTAATATAAACATCTACTTTATAATGGAAGTTTCATACCTTTTTAATCAAATGAGTGATTGCAATCATTTACAGAAAGGAAGTACATTTTAGGACCACTATTGCAATGAAATAGTACTTTTAGTAAAACTTAATCTAGGTTGTTCTGCTGTAGTAGTATCAACTGGTCTTGTTTTGATGCTTGCTGTTAACAATAATCAAAGTCCTTCCAATGTTGTTTGCTTAGCCATCTTGCAGTTGAATTCTTCTCAATATTTCCTTGTTGTTCTCTTACACCCATCTCTTCTTTCTGTCAAATATCTTTGCACTGAGGATGTGGTCTTTCTGTTCATTCTGTACATAACCCAAATGTCTATTTACTATTTTCCACTGAATCTTAGAGAAAATTGTGCTAAGGATCAAAGTAATGTTGGTCATTATTTGTCTTTTTGTCGTGTCTTACTGTTTTTTGGCTCCTAGACTCTTGTTCTGCTCATGTTTTCAGCTGTTAGAGTTTTTATATAAACTGTTAAAACCAAGTTTGAATATTATGACCATGATCATCATTACTTATGTCTCAGGCAAAAGTGTTTTAGTTCTTGTCTTTCTCTTTGTGATCCTGATCTCTTGTCTTCTTTCCAGTATTCAATTTTTGTGTATTTGATTGAATTATCTGGTTCCATTTTTCTTGGAATCCTTTTATTGTATATGGTTCCTCTGGATTTTATTAATTGTTTTAGCATGTTTTTGTTTCATAGCAGATACTTGGCTAAAGAAAGAGAGGCTGACTGCTATGTCAAGTAATACTACATATGTGCAAGTATATGTGACATGCATATGTGCCCATATTTTCAATAAATGAATACTTTGGAATTGGTATGCATGGTTTAAGATAAAATATGTAAGCCTGCAGCTGTGGACTTCAGAGAGGTTTTTAAACACCTCCAGAGAGGTGCTTGAGAGAATAATCTGAAATCACTCTCTAAACACAAGCAAGATGCAGGAAAAACACCCTAATGCCTCAACCCTACCAGTACAATTTCCTAAAAACTGTATTGTGATGAGAGGAGATTTTTTAAATAAACAGTGGTCTTTCTCTAAGTTTTCCTTATATTCAAGCTGCATATTATAAGACAGTGTAAAAAAATGAAAGAAATGTTGCAACATAGCCATGTAGTGTTAAACAGCTAGGAAGAACAGAAAGTTCATTGAAAGCTGACTGGTATTTTGTCATGCTAATTTTTTGGTTTGGGTGAATCAGGGCTGACCTGTTGAGTATGTGTTTGAAGTAGTATTATAAAATCACGACTTTTAAAAAACCCTATTTAATTAATGCAGTATTCTTAAAAACCCAACAGGAAGAAATGGATAGTAATCCCATGGTGTCATCTCTTCTGAATAAACTAGCAAACTACACTAATCTGACTCAAGGTGTGGTGGAACATGAAGCAGATGAAGACAGCAAGCGTAAGGAAGTCAAGGTATTTAAACTTCTAAGAAATTATTGGGACAAAGCTAGCCATAAAGAGGAGCATTTTTCAACCTGAAAAGAGACTTTATGGATACCTAAAAACAGGAGTGAGATTAGTAATACCGTGTTTAGAACTGAAGCATTTGCAGCAGGACTTGTGTTAATTTGGTGTTCTTGTTAGCATATTTAGCAAGATGACGTAAAACTTCTAGGTAAAATGTGTGCAAAGCTAGGATCTGAAACCCAGAGTACACCCATTCCCTCTCTCTTACCCTCCCCTCCCCTCTCCTCCCTTGCCCTTAATATAGTTGGATTGCCTAGGTTTTTACCTAGTTGAAATTAAGGCAAACCTGACAAAGAAACAGGTTGTGTTTTTAAATCTGTAAGCATATTTGCACCAGCTTAACATGGTAGTAGTTTTTCTAGCAGCTCTCTTGGTTTAGTGTGTCAGACTAAGTATTTTTAAGACTTAATGGATGCATTCCAAGAACACTTTTTTTTTTTTTTCCATACATCAGTAATATTATATTGGCAGGGGGAAGGAAGGCACATGCTCTGTTTGGCACATTGTTAAACACTCTTGCTAGAAGAAAGCAACTGAATTCATCAAAGGTTGTGTACTGGATGCCCAAAGTGCCTGTCTGAGCCTCTCTGGAAATGAAACATAAGCAACAGTTGGAGTCTTCAATTAGATATTGGAGTGATCCCTCTGTGAGCAGGGAGCTGTTTTGGAAGGAGAAAGCTTGGATCAAAAAACGTGACCTGACAGAGTATAAAAACTTCCAGGCAAGGAAGGATGATGAGCTAGAACTAGTTGAGCATAGGAGATGAAACTAAGAAAATGATGGTAGATACTGGGAAAGGGAGAGTGCTAGGAGTCCTTTGTGTAGAAGGTGTACTGCTACTGAATTTGTATGCTGAGCTATTGAGAAAGGAGGAGAAGCACCTGAGAATGAGTAAGAGGAAATGAGCACATTAGCAGAAGAAACCGAGTTGAAAAGGTGCTTGAAAGTAAGCTTCAAAATGAAGCTTGTTTGACTGGAAGGGAGATTTTGATAGAAGTTGGTACCAGGACAATGGGCAAGGGTGAGGAATAAAGTCCACCTGATTGGTTTAGCTTTTTGCTTATCCTCTGTTTGTTCATGTGTGGACTTTCTTTTTGTTTGTCTAGTTGTGCTTGTTCTATATCTGTTTCACCTCATCTGATGATACAACTTCAGATGTGAGTAAACCGAAACTGGTCAGCTCACACTTTCCTTCATGTGATCCCTGTTGTCCGCTTAGCTCCTGAGCAGAGTTTTTTCTCAATGCAGAACCATATTAGTCCTTCTGCAGCTGACCGGTCAAATGAACTTCATGTCCTCACTAGCACTTCATCTTGTTTAGCACTATCTGATGGCCTGATAACACAATTTTTATGCACATCTTAGTTTCTAAAATTAGGTGGTAGTTAAGTAGTACCTTGGCAAGGTAGCATTTTTAATGGCAAACCTGAGACAATGGTGTTGATGTTGCACATCAATATTGCCCAAGTGCTAAAAATCTTTCTAGAAACCTTCTGTATGTAGCTCTTGCTTCTAACTAGAGTATTTCAAAGCCTGATTTCTTCATAAGTGTGGAAGACTAAACTTCTACATACCTTTTGTGTGTGTACACACATCTTTTGTGTATCTTGACCCCGATGATCACCAGCAAATAAAAAGTACAAACATATTATGTTGTAGAAGATTTTACAACTTTTTCAAAAACAAATTGTCATCACCTCTGCATTTCTTCTGTCTCTGTCTTAATACTTTATCTGTCTTTTGTAAAAATGGAAAATACTTACTATTGAATATAATTTTTTGTACCAGCTGTATGTCAATTTCTGATCAACTTTTTGCATGACAAATCTGGTATTTTGATTATGGAAGTAACTTATCTTCAATAGTAGCCTGTAAGAGGTATTTCAGAAGAAAGTTTGTAAAGCATTGCAATCAACAGATAAAGGGGCATCCTACCCCTGTCAGGGTTTCCTATGGCACAAGAGAGTTTGCTATCACAAATAGTGTTCTGTCTTTTCAGGAATTTTTCTGTGTCAGTAGCCTATGAATATTTGCAAAGCTGGACACTCTGAAGTTACCATTCAGTGTCACTTGTTATTTCTTCATGGAGCATTTGTGATAAGAGTTTGTGGCATAAAGTTCTTAGGAACTAGTGCAAAGGAATTCATGTTCTCACTTTGTTTCCAGGGTCCACGAATGGGCACTTTTATTGGTGTGTATCTTCCTTGCTTGCAAAACATCTTGGGAGTCATCCTTTTCCTACGTTTAACATGGATTGTGGGAACAGCTGGAGTTCTTGAGTCTTTCATCATCGTGTTCATGTGTTGTGCTTGTGTAAGTTAACCTCTTATTCTTTTTTTTTAAACTGTTAGCCACATCCTCTATTAAAAGAGTACTGATGCCTTCTAATATATAAGTATCAGAGAAAGATAACCGTATTTAAACATAAAATTGGTTAAATTGCACTGATATTTAACCACTATGGTTAAATTGAGAGAGATGGGCTATATATATTAAAGCAGTGAGTGTCATGTGTCATTCTAACCTGTATGAAGTTTCTTTTGAATTGATTACACTAAGCTTTTTTCTGAAGTATTATATGGATTTTAATAAATCAGCATTTAGCATATATTTCACTGTTTACTTTGAGATCTGAACTGATCTGCTTTTCACAACTTTAGAACAACTTTAGTATAAACTACAAATTGAACCAGCATTATGTCCATAAAGTAGTATTTTAGAATGTGAGACCATTAGTAGATATTGTCATAACAATGATATGATGAGTTTTTCACTACTATTGAATTGAAATAATGAACCTACTGTTTTGTACGTTCAGTGGTATATATTCTTCCAGTTCTTTTTAAAGACTGTCTCAAACATCTAAATTAACTGAATCTTCTACAGAAAAATTTAGTACTTAATTCACATGGATATTCCAAACCAAAGATATGGTAACTGTAACATCTTACTTAAAAAAATAAATTTCTAGTTTCATTTGATCACTTTGTCTTGCCCCATCTCTCAAAAAAAACCCACAAAAAACCCCCACAAACTAAAAAAAAAAAAACCTGTAGTATTTTAAATTTCCTCTATTTTATCTTTCCACAGACTATGTTAACCGCAATTTCAATGAGTGCAATAGCAACAAATGGTGTAGTCCCAGGTAATGAATTTTATCTTAAATGATGAATGATCAAATGATGAAAGTTTAAGCTGGGATAAGAAATTATTATAGTCTCAAATATCAGAAGTGATGAATTTGTGTCAAGTGCATATTTGCTTTTAATTGATTTTATATACAGCTTTTTAATATGAGATGCAGTCTTTTAACTGGATCATTTGGGAGTAAAGAACTGCAGCACATCTTTGTCATCAGTCATTTGATTCTGTTTAAATGGAAGATAAGATGCTATAATTTGAATGAATGGAGACTGGTCTTCATGCAAAGCAAATTTCTTTGCAAGTTTACAAATGAGACTAGTACTTCTTTTTTCTATCCTGAATTTGCCTAGATTCCATCTAAACACTAGAGCTAGTCATCTTGTTTTCTGCAGAAATAGCAACCAGTCTGCTGGCAGAAATATTTTTCTATATAAGTACTGTAGGTTCTGCTCATCTCTGCTCTCCCCTTACATGTTCAGCATAAATAGATGAATTTTTTTGGCTTTATAATTATAGAGGATTTTTTTTAGGTGCAAAAGCAGTTAGCCCTTGAAGCTTTTATCCTTTTCAGTTTCTCAACACATTAATTGATAATTCTGGTGTCCTGTCGTAGTTTGTGTTGGCTGAGCACCAGGTATCTACTGAACCTGCACCCCACTTACCCCTCACCAAAAGGAAGGGGGAGGAGGGGAAGGGGGAAAAAAAGAAAAAGAACTATGAAACCAATACTGCTGAGAAAAATAGTTTTATATTACACAGAAAGGAGAAAAGTTACAATTATAAACACTATATAGACAGAAGAGAACTAACAACAAAAACTGCGTCCCCAAAACAAATGTTGTCCTTCTCCAAAGAGATAACCCGGCCATCCAGAGCTATCTGGAAAAGAAGAAAAGGGCACTCTCGCTTCCTTCCCGTCTCTTTTATATCTGAAGTGACGTAATGTGGGATGGAATATCTTATTGGTAGAATATACCTCAGAGGATTTGTCCTAGTTCCCTTTCTCTAGTTCAGATGTTGTGAACTCCGAACACTTTACTCAATGAACTTAAAGTGTTCATCACTCACAGAGCTTCTGCAGCTTAGTAAGGGGTTTCAGAACTGTTACAGAAGTTGTTGGGCAAATGTAAATGTTCCAGTTTGTGCAGGATGTAGAATAACTGTATTATAATTGTATTTCATGGATACAGTACCATATATGAAATACAAATGCAATATAAAATTTTGTTTTAAATACTTGTATTTTATAAAGAAATTTATTCAAATGTGTGTCTAGATAACTAACATGTTCTGATCTTGTCCCCCTCATATTTTTAAAGTTCGTTGTAAAGATTTTGTTTAACATCTGAGTGTCACAGAAATCTTTGAAGTTGGCAGTTCTTACACTAGACAGGTCTTAATTTTCACTTTGTTGGGGGTGGTGTCAGTTTCTTAGAGAAATTATGCTTGTGCTGGAATATATGGAGAAGGCAGAAAGCACAGATAAGAACCTAGGATTGAAGGAGACCTGAGCATCAGGATCTTTTCTTTTGCCATCATATATGACAGCATTATATTTAATTCAAGTATTGGAGATTATTATGAATTTCTTTGTTAGTTTCTCATTTTTCATATTTAAAACATTGAAACCTGTGCAACAGGGTGCCCAGAGAAGAGTTGGAATTGTCATCCTTGGAAGTGTTCAAAAAACACGTAGATGTGGTGCTTAGGAACATGGTTTATTGGTGGACCTGGCAGTGTTAGGTTAATGGTTCGACTTGATGATCTTGGAGGTCTCTTCCAACCTTAATTATTCTATGAGAAACAGCTTCAGACTCTGAACTTTGACGTATGTTTATTTAAAATGAAGCACTTCCTTTCTCTGTCTCCTCTTGCTTCCTCATAACCTTGTTCTGAGTGAGACAAATATCATTAATTCAGGAGTAGATGGAGAGGGAACCAGAGAGTTTGCCGTGAGGGGGTTGGGTGAAATTCTCAATAGAGAGATGAAGGGCTTGAAACTTAAAACCTTATTGAAAGGGGACACTGGAAATGGGGTGGTGGTAGTTTAGTGTAGTTTATGACTTAAGGAGGATGATACATGTGTATGGGAAGTAAGAGAGAGAAGAATTGAAAAATTCATGTTCAAAATGAATAATATGTGAGTATGGAAGAAAAAGCAATTCCTAGCTAACACTTTTAGATGGTACTGAAAAAAAAATGCCTCTAGAGAAAGTGGTAATGGTTTCATATACAGAAAATAAAAAGAATATATATCAGTGAGAAAAAAAATCTGTTTTGTCCCTATCTCATAAAGCAATGATTTTTGGAAATCTGTTGTTTGGTGGGGAACAGCTTGAGGTTAGAAATTGATTCACATCTATTTGTACCTGTATATCCTTTTCTAATTTACTTCTGTTTAGCTTGTGTAATTTTTTCTCTTTTTTTGTTGGGCTTTACTTTCTGTTCCCCAGAAAATGGGGATAATAATCTTGAACTTTACAATTTAACTGTCTAGTTAGTATAGACATTGACTACAGTTTTCATATTAGCACGCCAGTGGAGACACGTGCAGTGGTTATCTTGATTATGTTGATTGAATGATTCACATTTTTGTTCTCTACTGCCGTCCTTAATCTGAAGGCCTGGAGGTTTTTTGTTTGTTTGGTTTTTTATTAAATTCACAGCTGGAGGCTCTTACTACATGATTTCAAGATCTTTAGGGCCAGAGTTTGGTGGAGCAGTGGGACTTTGTTTCTATTTGGGCACAACCTTTGCAGGAGCAATGTACATTCTTGGTACCATCGAAATTTTATTGGTAAGTACTAGTTTCTCTTAAGACTAAATGTATTTGGGCTGCTTTGGGAGATTGCTGATGAATGTACTTGGCCTAAAATGCATTCTAGTTTGTTGATGTTTTGATACTACATTCTCAATATGTTGATATTTATTCTTACTTGTAACTGTTTGAAAAGGCTAGATTCTTATCAATATTACAAAAATAAATTAAAGGCTGTTTGATGTATGTTTTTTCTACTTAAAGTAGGAACCAAATAGAACTCCTCTCCTTCCAAATAAAGTCTGTGAACCTGGATCAGACAGGCATTCCCAGGGTAACTCACAGAAACTTTTCAACTTCTACAATACTTTGCACTGCCATGTGCACTGACTGCTGCCCAATGAAAAGTTGTGAAGAACGTGAAGGTCATATTGCCAGTGAGTCAGGAATTAAGAAATTGTCCCAGTTTCTCCTTTCCAAACTACTGGTTTTGAATTTTCATATATTTGTAAAGATGCTGTGGAAAACTGCCTGTATGGCGATGGCGCAGCTACTGTGGCTGTGCTTCATCCAGGAGGGGCCAGACAGTTACTATTCATCATATTGGAAACTGCAGATATGCACAAGAGGTTTTTCAGAATTGTTCCTTGTTACGTACTAAGACCCACTTCATTAAACTGAGACTTTCTTGAATTCAAATTAGAGATAGTCCAGTCCTCACTACTGCTTGCTTTGGCAATCTGATCTATAGTAGCAATACCAGCACCATGTCAAATTGTGAGTTGAATTTGGTGCACTGTTCTCCCTATTAAAGGGTCATGCTGGGTATGTGTTACTAATAAATATATATGAGGTTCAGCTATGCAATTTGAAGTAAAATGCTGCCCAAGATATCTGACAAAGACTGCAAAACAGACCCTTATCGTATCTACAAGGCATAGGTACTGCTTTTTTTTTTTATCTCTGATGGGACGTGGATTATTTGGAGGGACAGGAATCAGTCATCTGCCTGTGGTTTTCCCTAGCAAAGGCTGTGAACAACAGGGCAACATAGTACATAAGAAAATCTTAGTGAAGTACTGGCATACAGAAACTCTACAGAGCCTGATACTTCTGCAACGTTGCAATGCAGGGGTTTCTAACAATATATAAATATTCCTTCTGTAATCAGTTTTTCAGTTTGCTTTTTTTCCTTCCATGATGATGTGACAATTGTCATCTCTTCTAGCATTCTAGTAAATATTAATGTACTAAATTTAATTTAAGAAAATTCTGGTGAAAAATCCATATCTATTTTTGGATTTTGTTTCTGGGCATACCAGGATAGCCTCCTTCCTGCTCAAAGTTTCTTCCTTTCTTCATTTCTTCTTCATTTATGAGTTAAATTATCTGAGGACAGTCAGTTTAGTACTTGTTTTGAAGGATTAGAGTTGCCTCAAGCCCCAATACTCCCCTAGCAGCTGAGCAGAGAGGATTTTTTTCGAGGTGCTGGAAGAAGGAAAAAAGATGATGTTATCATGTAGTGTAGTACACAAATGTCTCAGAACTATAGATCAGTTAGTTTTCTCAATTGCATTTATCAATGTAAGTCTTGTGAGCTATACTTTTAACTTCTTTTCAGGTAGAACTCAGAACTAAATTGTTTGAAATTGAGATCTGTAGATCCCAATTGAGATCTATGCTTTCATGTTTGAGATTGCAATAGTTCAAACTGTCTGTTTTAGCACAGGACTAAGCTTTGTCACACTAATCTTAAGATGTGCTGTTGCAATTTCAGATTCAAATTCTATGAAATGTAGTGTAGGATCTGTAGTACTGAAAACATTTTTAGTTTTTTATTATGCTATTATTTGATTCTTCGTATTGTGTTTCAGTCAGTGGAATTATTAAGCATAGATCTGGTTGGAGCTAGTTTATGGCTTTGGGTTTTTTCTTTTAATTTTTGTTATGAACTCCTTCTTCCCCCTTCCCCCTTCCCCCCCCGATTTCTCAACAGTCTTTCCTGTCTGGCAGACACATGAATTTGAGGAGTGGAAACTCTTTAAGGGGAGAGAAGAAGCTGGAGCAAAAGCTGTATCTTATTCTCAAAACTTGTTTTCCTTGATTCTCACCGCCCCCTTTCTTTTACTTCTACACTTTCTAAATGCCCATGTTATCTGGTTGAACACCTTTGTGAAAGCATAAAACTGATATAGAAGGTTAGATTTTGTAGTTCAAGTAAATGATTTTAATGATAAAATGATAAAATATTTGTTATTACATGTGTGATAGTTTGCCATATCTCTTGCAGACCTACATTTCTCCAAGTGCTGCTATATTTAAAGCAGAAGAGGTTGGTGAAGAAACAGAGGCTATGCTAAACAACATGAGAGTTTATGGAACATGTATTATCATTCTTATGGCCATAGTAGTTTTTGTGGGAGTAAAGTATGTCAACAAACTTGCTCTGGTGTTCCTTGCCTGTGTGATTCTTTCCATCATTGCCATATATGCTGGAGTTATTAAGACTGCTTTTGACCCACCCGACTTTCCGTAAGTGCAATATTTAAGTTGTGTGGGTTATTAAAAAGAAAAAAAAAATGTGGGGAGGGATAGCTACTGTAACCATTTCATGTTTTAAGCTAAGCTTCAAAATGCAAGCACAGTAGCCTCAGTGGTGGGTTTAAGGGGTTTAGGCACTGATGTGCTTATTTGTTATTCTGAGTTACATATCTGAATCTTTCTCTCATTTTTCATGAGACACGATACTCTAGAAAATGTTCTTTGTTGCTTAAAATTACTAGCTGTTATTCCACCCACATCTAAAGAATAAAAAGGTGGGTTTTGCTGACAGTAAATATAGCTGCTTTATCTAAACTAAAAACTTATAAAGTAAAAGCTTCAAGAAAACATTGTAGTTATGAACCAGAGTTATGAAAGAAATATACTTTCAAACTTTCTGTGTTATGAGGAAATTTTTGAAACTTCCATTTCTCCCTTCTTAAAAATGAGACATTACAGTGTTAAATTCACTTGTGTTTGTGAAGGCTTATTGATAATAAAATAAAATTTTGTTATTGTCACACACGACATTACTTGTCAACACCTTCAATTTGTTCAGCTCCTTAGCTCACTAAGAGTTGTTGCTTTACTCCAGTTATCAGTATGTGAGTTGCATTTTTGTGCATCCTTTTCTGTTTAAAGAGAAAACAAGATTATATTGCTGAAAACATTAGTGAATAGGCTGATAACTTCAGTCCTGCATGGCACTTCATAACAAAAGTTATCTTTTGCTGTATGATTGTTGCAGATTCTATAGCACTTTGAAGTGTGGGTAATTGTATTACAAATGGAGTATTAAAGCAGTATTTATGGACTGTTTTGTAACACGATACTGTCCTCAATTGAAAAATTAAGTGTGATCAAAAATTCTGACACATATCTGAATGAAACTTAAATTTCTTACAAACTGTAACTTCCAGTGGGGAAATAGTTAAGTCTTTTAATCACCCATACAAGTAAAAGAGAGTTTATCTGGATATATAGCATCGGTAAGACTGACAGTCAAGTTCCTGGAAACCTTATATGAGGCTGCTGCTGTGATATAATATTGTATGGGGTGAAAAAATATAAAGAAAGGTTTTTTCCCAATAAATATAATTGTTTACACATATAGTCTTCCTCAAAATTAGAAACTCAAGTGTGGTCCTCATTTATGGTAAGGCTGATCTGATAGTAAGCTGGTCATCAAAAAAAACCAGCTTCCACTTAGCTGGTGAGTTAGGTTGATACCACCAACTTCTATAAAGTTTGGCCATCGTATAGGTGGTAAAGTAGTTTACTTCATGATCTCTCAGTTGAGTCAAACTGAAAGAAGTTTCCATTGGTTGAATCAATTGACCTTGCTCCTATAGGGTCACCAAAATTCGTAATAATTAAAAAAAATGAGCAAGTGGGAAGATGATCTCTTTAGCAACAGCTTTCTGTTAAACCTGTTCAACTTACATGTGATGCCATACCTTGAAGCTGTACTGATGTCCTGTACTCTTCCTATGGCATCTACTTTTAATTGCACACAGAAACAGGATATTGCTAGGGCAGTATTCTGCTTGACTTCATATACTTGTTCTAATGCCAAGTGGTATGCTTTTGCTGTTTGTTATCAGCTTCTTAACTAAGCTCCTTCAGAAATATTACATGTGTTTTATGTGATTTTTGACTTATCTGCCTAACCTACGTGGGATTTTTTTTTATATGCCTTCTTTTGTCTTCATGTATCATTTGATTATTAAGCAAACCTGAAATAGAGATCTCCTAAACATTTTTTTGTATAGTTTAGCAAAGAAATATTCCATGATCCTTAATACTCTTTGCTGGTAGGAATTTGCTTTTGACAAACTCTTCTGACTTTTCTAATTTTCTTTCATTCCTGAAAGAAATTATTTGCTTCCCCATTCATGATTCTTTAATTTGTACTCCCATCAATGTTTTTAAATTCTGATGTTTACCTTTCCTGGCTTATTTCCTACCTTTTGGATTGTAATATTTTCAAGGATCATCGAAAGTTTTTATTTGCTAGAAAAGGGAATGGTCTACTCGCCTGTTATTACTTTCATATTTTCTTGGTTAGACTCATCTTAATATTAAGTATATAAAGTATTACCTAATTTCCCTTCTTTCTTGTAGGACTGAGTGAATCATGATCTCTGTTGTTTAGTCAAGCTGCTTAAATTGATTATATTTTCTAAAGAAATCAGAAAGCAAAGTAGCTATTAATACCTTAAAGTAGAAATATTTGATCCATGTTTTAAAGGTTATTGATGGTAGTTTTAGATGTAAGAACTATAGACGGTTTTATTAGGTCTTAAGATAGATAGTGTGAATAAGAGGTTTCTGAAGAAGTCTGAAAGACATACAATGCCTTAATGCACACCCTGTATTAAAGGATCACTGATTTTATTTTTCTTTTTTGTAGTATCTGTCTCCTTGGAAACCGTACATTGTCAAAACGCAGCTTTGATGTCTGTGCCAAATTTACTGAAAGCAATAATGAAACAAGGACTACACCTTTGTGGCGCCTATTCTGTGATAGTTCATTGCTTAATGCTACATGTGATGAGTACTTTCGTCTAAATAATGTAACAGAAATTCAAGGGATTCCGGGGATAATGAGTGGAGTTCTAATTGGTAAGTTGAAAAGCACAATGATTTAAAAATTTTTGGATATTAATTATTTGGCTGATAGCTTGTTAGTATTGTAGTGGTCTAACCTGTCACTACTTCTTTACCTCTAATCTGTTGCTGTGAAAGATTGCTACCTTGAGCATGCTTCTTCCTGTAAAATTGTCATCTGGTTTTAGAAGCTTAATATCAAGGGCTTTAATTTGGGGGTCATTGGAGTTTTTTAGGCATTCTTTCAAAAGCCACAGTTCAATCAAAAAGAAAAAGGTATAAAGAAATTACAAACTGATTTTTGGACTTTCCTTTATGCTCTATAGGAAGTAGATGCTAATTTAGAGATCTTGACTTATTTTACATCACTCCTCAAATCTTTGTGAAAATTCCTGAAATTTACAATTCTCTTATTTCCTTAACTCTTCTTATGGCTTCAGTCTTATCTCTAGATGAGGTTATTGCTCCTCTTCATTTGATTGAACACACATATTCTATAGCAATTAATACTTTTAATCTTTATTTTGCTGTCTCTTACGTTTCTCATGCATACTTCTATATATGCTTACCAATTGTAAGGTTTCTGTTATGAATCTGGATATGTGTATCCTCTTTTTGGTAACTTATGGTTCAAAGTCAGTCTCATATTATGCTCAAGGTAACTTGTTGCTATTTTGGAGGCTTAGAATACTGTACTTAAATTCCCTAAAGTTGTGCAGGATGGCTAGAAATTGGCTATTTGATCATCCTGGCAGTCCATGGCAGTTGTTTATTTCTGTGCTGTAAAATCCTTTGTGTTCTTGACAGGGTGGGAGAGCATCTACTTTGTTTCCTCACATGTGGTAGGATAACTTGTCTTATTTTAAAATCAGTATTGGATCGTCCCACAGTCTGGTCAAGATGCCCAACCAGTGTTCCCACAAATGTAAACTCTCACAAGTTGCTGTTCTTTGACCTCAGTCGTCTCCATACAAACATCCTTAGTTTGCTGGGGAATTTAAACCACATTCTGCTGGGTTTTTTTTGCTTATCAGTGATCTTCTGAAGTCTGGCTACATTGCTTTTGTCACCATGTGGAAATCCTTCACCATAAACAGCTGAATCCTGTGTTGTTCAGGATTATTCTGTATAGCAGGTCTCAAAGAACTCAAGTTACTGTTAACTAGCATTTCTTCCTTGTACTGGTCCTCAAAATACAAGAACAAGAAATATTAGTATATGCTAAGATTGCCTGAACCTGGAGATAATTTCCTTTTATTGACAATACATCCTGATGATACATCTGTATGCCTGTGCAATGTAAGTGGACATTCTACAAATATATTAGCATTTAATTCTATAACTAAATTTTTCTTGAAGGGAAGAGAAAATTTTGTATGATGCATCTCATACACTACTGAATTTTTACTGGCATACAGTGGGAATATCCACCCGTTAAAATTGGTATTAATCATATTGGGAAACATAATGATTTTTGGGTAAGAAAAGGCATCTGATTAACAAGATTTTCATTCTCACTACTTGATATCCTGAAACAGCGAGATGATGCTGACTTTTTTTTCCCCCTCCCTTATAGATAATCTCTGGAGTACCTATTCAGAAAAAGGATCAATAGTTGAGAAAAAAGATCAGCCATCCATTGCTGGATCAGAAGAGACAAAAATGGGTGGACTCCCTTATGTTTTTACAGACATCATGACCTACTTCACAATGCTAGTAGGGATTTATTTCCCATCTGTGACAGGTAGATACAACTATTTTTCTTGAGTGAGGATATGTACTTATAGCTGGAAAAAGAATACTTTTCACACATTAACTGTTTATTGGGGACATACGATGTTGCTACTCTGTGTGTCTGAGGTTATGTACCTAAAACCTTCTGGTGCTAGGGCGACATAGCTGATGGCTGATTACTTTAGGAGGTTATAGGACTTAAACAAGAAATCAGTTTAAGGACTATTTTCTATGTCTGGAAAGAAAGCAAAAACCTCATGTGTTACTAAATGTTTATTCAAAATAAGTTTCATACCTTTATAATACTTAAATCTTCAAAGGCATGAGAGAACAGTTTAATATTAAAGCGACTGTTTCAGATATTCAAGCTGTTAATTGCATGGGATGTGTTCAAATGTCCACTATTTTTTTTGACACTGTAACAGTGGTGACTTTTTTGTCAAGCTTAATTTCATTTTCCTCCGCTCACACTTGACTAAAACAGCCAGACACATTTTTCTTCAAAAGTCCCAACTTGAAGCAATTGTAATATAAAGTAACAGAATGGAACTCCCAAGTGGAAGTAATACTAAGTCGAAGTGTCCCTTTGTATTTTTATTTGAACCCCACTGTTCCCATTTCTTTACTTCAGGCTCTTTTATCAACATTTCATCATATCTGAACCTGTGGTTAGAGTATCATTCCATGGAGTTTCACAATGGTTTTTCCACTGGAACATCTTGACATTAGCTTCCATGTTTTTGCCTCCAGCAGTCAGATCAGTTCTAGAAAAGATGGCAGAATTAGTCAGTTATTGTATATTTTTTTCCCCCTCCCGTCACAGTATGTGCTAGAAAATACTGTTCTGTTGTTATATTGAAACAGGGATGTGTACATGTGATTTTTCTAACCATTCTTTTTGTTCTTGCCTGCTTCTTTTTTTTTTGTTTCTATGTTTTTATTCTTTAGTTTATTGATTTGTTTGCATATCTTATGATGGTCTGGTTAGTAGAAAGTTAGTGCATTTGGTCACACTAGGTAAAATTGCTAAGTCCCTGTTAGTTTATAGCATCCATCCCAAATATTTTGCTACTTCTTATATTTCTCCATTGCAATAATGATTCTGAGGTTATAGTTGAAAAATATTTTTAAATTTTTTTAATCTGCCTTTTTTTCTGACCTCTATAGGATTTTCTTCATTCAACAGTGGGTAGCAACACAAATTTCTGAATAAAACAAAAGTATAAATTGAGGATTTTTGCAGGATTATAATATACTACTGCAGTCTGCTTCATTGGTAAACCTGTGTTAAATCAGGCTTAAAAGTAAATGTTCTTGTTCTGTTAGTTATTTCCATGGATTTCTGTTAATAGTTTTTATGACATATAAATTTCATCTCTTTCTAAGGCATTATGGCAGGTTCAAACAGATCTGGAGACCTAAAGGATGCTCAGAAATCTATTCCTACTGGAACAATTTTGGCTATTTCAACCACATCTTTTATTTGTATCCTTTATGATGTGACTTTTTTCTAGTCTACATTCTGTAGGTATAACAGTATAGGTTTTTCATTGGAAAGTCATTAGAGTTGCCTGAGTATAAAATTAATTAAATCTAACTTGAAAAGAAGTATTTTATATTTGTATATTTGTAATATAAATATTACTTCTAGAAATCATTAAAATATCTCAAATTTTATTTATAAATATATATGTCCTATATTCTACTGGCTTCAAATTGCAAGATATAATTGACATTTTTAGTTAAGTGTTGTAGATGCTTTTAGCATCATGCTTCAGTTGTCAGATTGTTATATTCAGTATAATCAAATCTTGAACCAAACAACCAGCAACAGAAATTTTTGTTCCTTCAAAACCTAGAGGACACAAATGCTTACTTATTTATATGAGGAAATACCTGTTCTGTTGTGTGATGTATGAACTGGCTCCTTTCAATACTTCACAAATCAACTGTGTATCAAATACAATCATAGAGAACATAAACTAAAACATTGTAGTAGGGAAGAACTAAAAAAAAACCAAACAAAACCAACTATGAAACACCTTCCCCCACATACACATACTTCATTATCATGAACATTTTCATTCATACCTAGGTGAAAAATAGTGGGTTTTCTCTATGTATATACCTATAATGTAATCTTCCTTCAGTCTCAGTTACAGATCTCTCCTGTATAGTGTTGTTTGGTGCCTGTATAGAAGGTGTGATATTAAGAGATAAGTAAGTCATATTCAACTTCTAATTTTACAGGGAGTATATATAATCATGGGTTATATTAATCGGATTTTATAATTATTCTTCTGTGAAATATCTATGCCATATGTATTTCTTTTGCTTTGATTAAAACTGGAGGGAAAGTCTAACCTGAGATGGCTGCAAAAATGAGTCTGGTTATCAGGCTGTATCCTTTTGAAAAGCAGAAGCAGAATCTAAGATAAATGTTTGAAGTGGAACCAGCTTAATAAAATGTTCTTGATAAAGAAAATTGTAATTAGTATTTGCAGAGCTGATAGGTGGGGATAAGAGGACTGGTATTACTTTGGGAGAAGTAATACGCTCCTGAGGAACAAAGACAAGAAAAAAATTTGAGTTATATGACAAGAAGAGTTCATGAGACTGCAGTGCACCATTAGACCTGTAACTCCCATTGGATGTATTTTTGTTTTAAAGCATCAGTTGTAGATCAAGAGTCATTTCGATTTTCAACCATGTAATTGCTTAATGACATTTAAGGCACAATACAAAGCATGAAGGGAATAAAAATAATGGAGATTACTGTGAACAGAATCTCCAGATTTTGATAAATTTCTCCATTAGGAGAAGCTGAGTTGACTAAGATGAAACTTTTGTTTCAGGTTTCACATTTGTTTTCTTGCTGGTGTCTGGTTCTCTTAGCTTTTGGTGATAAAGAAGTGGCATTGGGTTATTGTTTGAAGGTTGATGGAGTTGATGCTGTGACAACTTATTTCATTAGTCTAGAAGGAAAACTATAAGTTAAAAGCTGGATTCCATTCAAAACTAGTACAAGAAGCAGCAAGGGATCATGATAGGCTTTTGACACTGCATCTCATAGCATCCTTCTAGGCAAATTCAAGAAATGTGTGTCAGATGATGTGGACAGTGTGGTGGATTGAGAACTGGCTGAATGGCAGATCACAGAGGGGTCATGATCAATGGCACAGAGTCTAGTTGGAGACCTGTCACTAGTGGTGCCCCTCATGTTTCTATACTGGGCCCAGTATTGTGTAACTTGTTCATCAGTGGTGTGGTTGAAGGGTATAGAGCCTCCTTAGTAAGTTCATTGAAGATACAAAACTAGGAGGAGCAGCTGATACTTCAGAGGGCTGTGCGGTCTTTGAGAGGGACCTTGACAGGTTGGAGAGATGGGCAGAGAAGAGCCTTCTGAAGTTTATCAAGGCCAAATTCAGGGTCCTGTACCTGAGAGGTACTAGTACTAGGGGCTGACTTCTGGAAGGTAGTTTCTCCTTTGCGGAGAAGGACCTGGGGGTCCCAGTGGACAACAAACTGCCCATGATCTAGAAGTGTGTCCTTGGCCAACAGAATCCAGGGATGCATTTGGAAGAGCATTGCCAGCAGGTTGAGGGAGGTGACCCGTCCCCTCTACTCAGCTCTGGTGTGGCACATCTGGAGTACTGTGTCCATTTCTGGGCTCCTCAGTAAAAGAGAGACATGGAGCTTCTGGAGCAGGTCTAGCTACAAAGTTGATGAAGAGACTGGAGCATCTCCCTTACGAGAAAAGGCTGAGTGAGCTGGACCTGTTCCCCCTTGAAAGAAACAACTGAGAGAGGACCTCATCAATGTCTATAAGTATCTAAAGGAGAGGTGCCAAGAAAATGGAGCCAGGCTCTTCTTGGTGGTGCCAGACAATAGAATGAGAGGCAACAGGTAGAAACTGATGCACTGAAGTTCCATATGAATATGAGGAAGAATTTCTTTACTGTGTGGGTGATCATGCACTGAAGCAGATTGCCCAGAGAGGTTGTGGAGTTTCCCTCACTGGAGATATTCAAGAACTGTCTGGTTGCAATCCTGTGTTGTGTGCTCTAGGACGACCCTGCTTGAGCTGGGAGGTTGGACTAGATGGCCTGTTGTGGTCCCTTCCAGTCTGACCCATTCTGTGATTCTATGACTTTTACTTTAAAATAGTATTGCTTCATCAATAAAAATATCTGATATGTTTTTTCTTCTAAGTAAATATAAAAACTGAATCAAACTGCCTAAGAAGTAGTAAATAAAGTCTGAAATTAAAAATTAAAGCAGAGCTAATATCTATAAATTCACATTTTTGAAAGTAACATATTTGGAATTTACTGGGACAGGGGAGTGTGGAATTTTGCAAGTTCTGATCTATCGCTAGAGCAGGTTGCCTTGTAGCAGGAGCTTTGAATCTGTGAACTTTCATTTACAGTGCTGCCAGTTCTTGTTTTGCTGAAATCCAGTGTAACAGTAAAGTTTTCTTAGTTTTGTTTAAAGACTGTTTTTTGGTTTAGTTTTTTTCTTTTTTTTTTTTCCTCTGTTATGGTGGTTACATCTGCATGGGAAAAAGTAGATTGTACATCTTTCAGTGTTTCTTTCATCTCTTCAAGTTATTCCTACCTTGTGTCTAATTAGATCACAAGCATTAGAATTTGAATTAAGAATAAATGTGCAGTTGTATAAATGTTATCATAGAAGTATATTTTTTTTCTCCTGTAATTTTGAGGATGTGATTTCATCTTTTTCCATCTGCTGAAAATGGTATGTAGTCATGCATCCAGGCTTAGGCATATGCAAAAATTTGGACACTGGCTTACTATGTTAACTTTGTTGTTGTGTTTTGTTGTGGTTGGGGTGGGAATGACACACAGCTTCAGGAAACCAGGAACTCTTTATTGCAGCAAGTGCAACTACTTTTATACAGTTTTTGGTGACACATGTACACGCACAATTGGTTTGTCAGTAACATAAATAATGGCCAGTCTCTTCGCGAACGAAGAACCGGGGAAGGTCTTTCCACCTTCCAGCCTGCGCATTGGATTTTTTAGGTGAGACACAGTGTGCGCGGAACTGAGCCCACCCTTTAATCCTGAGGTTCAACTGCCGGGGCCAAGCACGCTTGGACGGTGGCAGTGAGGTCCTCAGGACGTAGATGGATTGCCTTACAGGGCTAACGAGCTCCATCTGCCCGGGGAGGGGCCCCGACCGGGAATCGAACCCGGGTCTCTGCAGTGACAGTGCAGTGTGTTTTCCTCTACACCACCGGGGGCTCCCGAGTAACATAAATAACTCACAATTGGACATACATCCGCACATGTCTAATAACAATGAGTCAGCATTCCTGACAGGAAATCCATTCTTTGTCGCAGTCTTTTTCGTTTGTGGCTGACACCCTGCCAGGCATAGACGTTCCATCTTTGATTTCTCAGCTACATAGAGACCCCAGAACCAGCTGGGCTCTCCCGTAGTGTTTCTTGACCCTGTTTTAAAAGCAGGTCTGAAAAGAGAGAAAGCATTTAATTTTTCTTTGGCTGTCAACTTTTTCTTTTCTTTGGTGGGTTTTTTTTTGAAAAATCTGAAAAAGCTGGGAAAAAAAAGACTATGGTATCGCAATGTAGATAGTCTTAATAGGGATTTTGGTTGCTTACTAACAAAAGTAAGATGAACTACAAAAAGCTTACTTGCTTTTAAAACAAAAATGTCAGTTTGAAAGGGGGGTGAGTGGGGAATTGCTGTTTGTTTGTTTACTCAAGTCATCCATAAATAACATAAAGTTAGGTATCTAAAAAAAATTAGAAACAAGGAAGTAGTATTACATGGGATAATCAAGACTAATGAAAGCACCTCTTCCTGATTTCTACCCACTTATTTGCCATAGTAATTTAAAAATTGCATCAGGTAGCACAACAGTCAGAAGATGTGCAAAACTTTGGATGGTTGCGTCTAATAATTTCTCTAGTTATTGTCTGTATGTCAGTGTCATACTGTTAAAAGGAAAGGCTAATACTTTGGTTTGTGAATCACCTGCTTATGCCCCAGACTATACCTGTATAAATTTTATTACTTGTAGAACAGACAGTCTATTTCCTAGCTGTCACAAGAATCTGTAAGATACATATGTGCATACTCTTGCTATTGCTGTTAATTCTGTAAAATTTGCCAAAATACCTGATAATGGCTGCATGTTTGCTTAGAGGCAGCACCCAGTGTGAAGCAATTATAATGTTTTATTTTTAATAACAGAATAAAGAGAGACTGCTTGGTTGGAAAATCCTACAGTTCATACTGTAACATGGTGTTTATTGTTAAAATGTCTGTTGTCCAAAAGATTGAAATATGGGCACTGAAACTATAGTAAAAGTTATTTTAATGCTTAGTGATTTTTTTTTAATTATTTTTGTTTCTCCTCTTCTTTCTCAAGGTTTGGAGAAGCAGTTAAGGGAAATCTAGTGGTTGGTACTCTGGCCTGGCCTTCTCCATGGGTTATTGTGATTGGTTCCTTCTTTTCAACATGTGGTGCTGGTCTCCAGAGTCTCACTGGTGCACCCCGTCTATTGCAGGCCATTGCAAGAGATGGCATTGTACCATTTATTCAAGTAAGATTTGTTTTTGTCTTTACAGTGCTTCAAATGTGCCTTCTATTTTGACCAATAAAAAGAGGCATAATTTCTGCTGTTTCTATGGAACTGTGAGGAAAAGATTTGGAGCTCGGTTCTGTTTGGGTACAATAATAGATCAGGCTATTGTAGGGCAAAGTTGAAGCTTCAATATTTTTGTGCAATGCAATTTAATTATATTTGTTTTTACATATGAACTTAGTGGTTACAAACTGAGAATACAAGCCTTCTATAAATAAAAATAAATGAACTAAGATGCAACTAACAACTAAACTTCTTGACTCCTGGCTGTGTTTATAACTTGTATTTGTGAACAGAGTTGATCTCATCTCACCGTGGAACTGCATAATACTTCTCGTGTCATGGAGATACAGTTCTAATTTTTATTCATTTTTATAAGCTAAATAAAGTCAACAAAGATGTAACAATAGAATTCTATCCCATGACTCCAAACATCAAGTTTGTTCCAACATCTCTGAACATGTTTTAAGAGGAAATAAATCAGATTTTTCTTGAAGTGAGGGAGCTGGCAAACAAAAGAGAAGGAGAGAATTCTTTCTGGGCTGCTTCTGCAAAACCTAGATGACTAGACTTGATTTAAAAATAAATATTCTTTTTTTGAGTTTTATTTATTTAGTGTCTAGAGAGCAAAACTGTGATCTCTGTGGAGAAGTCTGAAAGCTTACCTCAAGCCTTGCAAGACTATCTGTAACAGGAAGTAAATACACTAAGTATGCTTGCCTGGAAGGGCTGAGTGGTAGTGGAGTTCGACTTATCAGTGGAAAGGGGATATAATGCAATAAGTTGTAAATGCTGGGTAATATTGAGAGAGACAAGCAAAAAAATTCACTTTTGCCTGAAGTAAAAATTTGGTACTGAGTGAGAGGATGACAGTATGATTGCACCTTATCAGGGTTAGATTTGAAAGGAGTGAAAACTGGAAGGAAAAAAATTGTGGTTTGGAAAGTGAGAGTAAGGGAATCAAAGAGAAACAGGATGTTTAAGGAGGGATTTGAGACTTGAGGTGTGCTTGCAGTGTGTGAGTGGTATGGCTGCTGCATGGACAGGGAAATTAATTCAAGAAGATTAATACAGAAGCAAGAGTATGACATATATAAGAAAAACAAACCGAAAGACTTGAAACATGAGCAGAAAAAAAAGGGGATTTTAATATTATGGTAGGAAAATCAATGGATTACAAGCTTAGAAAGCTAAGGGAAGAAGACAGTATGGAGAATGAATTAGGGCTTCATCTCTATAATTGAATGGAGGAGTATGGAGGAGAATAAGTACAGCTGGAACGTGAGGCGAAGCATTTTGCCATCTGTCACCAGTATAGCTGGATGGAATTCTCCACAAAGAAAATTGCCACAAGCAAAATGATTTTTGGTAGGGCTCTATATAGGATCATAGGTTTATCCAAGACCTCTTTAAAGGTCAGTATTATTTTCATAAGTTTGACACCTAATCTCTATGTTACAAAAAATACTGCCCTCAACTATATTAGCTCTTTACTAAGCATAAATCTCTCATGCATACAGATTTTAATTTACTTGAGAATATTTCAACAGCAGCTGTAGTAGGGCGGTAATGTTAGGTAGTCATTGTTTACTTTGGTAAAAATATTTCATATTGGAAATGGGATGTATTGCAATTTTAGTTTTGGCTTTTCATAGTATAGATGGCACTATTGTCTATTGTAACTAATGACTGCTTTCAGTTCCAGTTAGAAGTAAGTTGGTTAGTTCACGGTCTGCACCATAGTTCATAACTGTGTAATGAAGAGCTTTCCCTAATCTTACTGTTTACTTGAATTGAACTAGATATTTGGTCACGGAAAAGCAAATGGAGAACCAACTTGGGCTCTGCTCCTCACTGCTGGTATTTGCGAAATAGGAATTTTGATAGCCTCACTGGACAGTGTAGCACCAATTCTTTCAATGTAAGTATGAATGTGGTGGTTTGTGTTCTCAAGTTAAATTGTATTTTATTTTTAAATTAACTAGGTAATTATTTTTCTTCTTTAAATAAAACATGCTAGACTTTGTTTTCTAGCAAATTATATTCCTGTTTGATCCTGGAGGTAATATGAAAAAGCAAAATGTTCTGGCTGGAACTAATTTTCCAGGCACAAAAAACTTTTTACGTGACAGAGTTTTTGAATGCTAATAAAAATATGTTCAACTTTAAAAGAAATAAGGATTTTAAAATAAAAATTTCTCCTATTTTAGGTCAAGTGCATCTAGTAGAGACAGACAAAACCATTTAATATTTTAGGATATGAACTGAATTTTATTTTACTGACTTTGTCCATAACATAGCACCAAATTAGCTACTATGGAGAAAATTAACTCTGTCCCAGCCAAAAACAATACACCATGATTGTCAGTTATTTGCTATGTTGTCTCTGAAATATTTGTTTGAGGCTCTATATTATGCTAATACCATATTGAGGTGTAATATTCTAGAAGTATTCCTAATTTATGCCTTTTGTTCTATTGGTCACTGTGAACACAGTGTACAGGAAAATGGACACTTTCCTACGCTTTTTTGGATTGTGTTCACTGTTTTAATGCACATCTGTTCTAGTTAATTTCTTACTGGAAAATGCACTTTTATTCTTAACAGGTTTTTCCTCATGTGCTATATGTTTGTGAATCTGGCTTGTGCAGTTCAAACACTTTTACGAACTCCCAACTGGAGACCTCGTTTCAAGTATTACCACTGGTAGGGAATATTTCTTCACTAAGAATAGTTAAAAATAACTGTACAGCCCTAAATTGTTGGTTTTATTGCAATAATAAAACAAAATCTCCTTTCTGACTTAAATGAGTTACAATTCATGCACTAAATACTTTAAAAGCAACATTTGTTTTCATGTGTTTGGAATAGCGCTAGTAATAGCATTGATCATGAAAATGTAGCTAATGTAGATGGCTTGTTAAGGGGTTACAGGATGACATTTTATATTGCTTATAAGGCAAGAGACCTATGTGAAAATGAGGATGAAAAACAGAGACCTATGTGAAAATGAGGATGAAAAACATATAATGTGTCTTTTATATATAAATAACAAGAGCTGATGAAAACATTCGGGAAGGTTGAGACAATTTTCATTTTGGTTATGCAAAAAATATGCAAAACCACAACTTGTACAAAAAAAATTTCATTCAATATATTTCAGTTGGCTCATTGACAATATGATCACTGGTTTTAAAATATGCTTTGGATGTTGCATTTTATAACTGAAGTAGACCACTTAACTAAGTCAGTAAAGGTCAATAATACTAAAGATGAGAGTGTGAGTTTTGTCTAGTCTTTTTTTTTAGCGGCTTAAGGGTTTAAACATTTCAAACTAAGATTGGGAAACTTCTTGATTTTTTTAAACTGTATGTTAAAAATACATAATTTAATTAATAGTAATTCTGTTGAGAGGTTTTAGTGCTGAAATACCTTAAAGCCTAGAATATATAGGAGGTAAGCTGGTGTGATTCTAGGATGTAAGAGTTGCTTATTATTTGAGTGAAAATGAAATGTCACAGTTTTAGCTTTGTAAAAACTTGTTGAATATGCTCAGTAGTCACACACTAGTTTTCACACCTAACCCTCCAAATACATACATTTGGCAACAATTCCTTTTTGTTTTTCTCAGAGAGATCAGTGAGCTAGCTGATTAACTGTGTGGCTACTTACAGCCAAAGCAGGTGTTGGAATGTTTGGCTGGAATTGGGGTGGGATTTTATTTTTTTTAGTGAAAGTAGAATCTTACAGTAATTCAGGCGTGAAAGAGCAGCTGTTGTTCTTTTTAAACAAACTACAAGACTGACGTCCTCAAGAACAGGTAGAAAGCTTTCCCTTAGTTTATAACTGGACTCAATGCTTGCATGGTACTAAAGAAGTAAACTAAAGGTACCAAACAAAAGTTGTGTCTGCTGACGCTCTTTGTCAATATAGTGAAAGCTAGCTCTAATTTGGAAAGTGGGGGAAAAGTAATTTGGGGTGTTGTATGTGACTAGAAGTATGCACAAAACTGTCCATTCTAAGGTGGTTTACATTAATCTTTGATAGTAACATGGGCAAACCAAGCATACAGATTTTAGTCTGAAAATGTTTCTGTAATTTTTTCAGTTTACAGCCATTCTTTCTTTATAGCCTTCTCTTCTTTATTCTCTTCCACTCTCTTGTATTAATGCCTAACAGACAGGCCACAACAGAAGTGAAGAATAGAACTGATGAGTCAAATTGAATTTAAAGTAATCAACTATTTTTGCTGAAAGAAACAATGTTGTTTATTACTGTTTGAATTTTTTTTAGCTTAAATTCAAATCATCAGTAAGTGATAGTATTATGTTTTGAAACTGACCTTATTTGGTACTGATAGAGTTTCAGCACTGATTTGTTATATCTAATTCAGTTGTATTATTTGTGTCACACAAAGGTTAGGAATGTGTTTTTTGTAATAATCTGAAATTGGGACAGTATATTTTTACATTTATAGTAACTATAAAATGGCCTCTGAAGAAGAAAGGCCTTTCTGGAAGTTAACTTTAATAAGAAATTGACTTTGTAGAACATTTGCATGCCTATTTAAAAAAATGGAAAAAAATGGTTTCTTTTAGGACTCTTTCATTCCTGGGGATGAGTTTATGTCTTGCCTTGATGTTCATTTGCTCTTGGTACTATGCTTTGATTGCCATGCTAATCGCAGGATGTATATACAAATACATAGAATATAGAGGGTAAGACCATATATCTTATTTATTCTATATTTAATATCTTAACAATCAGCAAAAAGCACTTTTGTATAAAATAGAAGTAATACAATTCAGACTATTCCTTGAAACAAGGTAAGATTCTATCTCTGTTAAGTGTTGTAAGTTTTTAGATCCTAATTCCTTTGGAAGCCCTTTTTCAAACTTCTCAACAGCCAGAGCTAATTGAAATAAGACCCAATAAGGCTGGGAAACTGTCATTGGAGCAGAGATGATGGTGTAAAGATGATGGTACTTAAAGAACATCACCTCTCAATATCAAGTAGCTACTATTACAGAACTGTTACATTATAGTTATTTTGTGCTGAAGCTCAAACTCTACTTTTTTTGTGTGTGGACTTTAGCACTTTTTAGAATTAATCCTACTGAACCATAAAGAGAATCCACTGAAAATTACCTGTTTTCTGAGGGCTTAGATAATCTTTAAATTGCAATATTGCATTTGAGACGGCTCACATCTGTAGGAAATGCTGAACAAGTAGGAGACTTGAAAAGCATGCTGAGTTCATAACAAAACCAAAACTAAACCAGCAAGCAACACAAAACCCCCCACCTAAACAACATATACAAACACTAGAGGTGTAATGTACATGTTATCCTTTTCAAAAGAAATACACTCTATGCTGAAAAAAAATAGTAAGGTCTTGGAGCAGGAAACTGAAGCAAGGCTGCTTGTTTTGATGCTTGATTAAGCATAGGTCTTAAGTGGATCAGCTGGTATAAATCACTCCCCCTTGTGGATTCTCCATCTTCTAATATCTCCATTTCCAGATTAGATGCTTTCCTGGACTTCTCTATTTAGTGTGTTAACAATAAGGAAATTAGTTTCCCTATTTTAGCAAGGAAGTCAGATCAAATGGTAATAGTTCTGTGTGTGTATATAGGCATGCACATACAGAAAATTTTGCATACTTCCAAATTTGTATACAGGCTCTACAAATGTTGGCACATATTAGGACATTTACCTTGTAGAAAGAGATGCTTTGCTAGAGGTAGAAAGTTCAGTGAGAATTCATTAATTCATAAGTGGGAGGGTGGGCAAGGAGTTGAACCCCTTGCCATAGTAGAACCCACCCTCCCGCCCACTTTCAATCTTCTGTATTCTAATACTGGAATTAAAAGGACTGGAGTTTAAAAAACTAGGGAAGTTTAAAAGTGGGTTAAAAAGGAGGGTGGATGGACCTTTAGGCTTATCTGAGAGAGAAGCTGGGAAGGAAAGGAAGTAGAGAAAGCTGTGGTGGTGTTGAGGGGAAGATAGATTACACTAATCCATTCAAAGTCAAGTTTCACTTATTAATTTTGCTGCTTTAAAACAATTCCTTTTAAGTAGCCTTCACTTATTCATTCTAGTGCTAAAAAGCAACTTAAGTAGCTGTCACAATTACAAAAATGCTTTTGAAGTATGAATAAGATAGACCATAGTAAATAAATACTTGAGAAAAAATTCCCTTGAAGGGACCTGGAACTGCTTGGTTAGTCTTCAGTCACCTTGGTTAGTCTTCAATCTTGATTTAAATTTGCAAGACAATTTTTTTTCCTGCATTTATGCAAAAAAAATGTGATCTTTTTTTATGCCCATTAATCCCCACATGAGAAAAAATACTTCCTTTTTATAAATAAATGGGTTTCTGTTAATTGAATCTCTTCTGTGTCCTGAAGAGCGGAAAAAGAATGGGGTGATGGAATCCGAGGACTGTCTCTGAACGCAGCTCGCTATGCTTTGCTTCGTGTGGAAGACGGTCCTCCTCACACCAAGAACTGGAGGTAGAGTCCTACACTTTCCAAGGTCACATAATTCTTGAAATATGTAAATGTATTGGGAATACTGGTGGTAAAGCTAGTGGCTGAAGTGAAGTTCACCATTAAAATAGAGTTTTAATTTGGACATGGTGATGATGTCATTGCAACAGTATTTTACTGCAACGGAATGCAGCTTATGATCAGCATGTAATCAACGTCGCGGGAAATGTGGGCAAACTAACTCCGATTTGAATTCGTGGGGTTGTTGACATGGTTTTCAAAAGTGCAGAAGAATTTTAATATTTGGTTATTTATAGATTTTTCAGATCCAAAGGAACAGGTATCCTGGAGTCTCACTGTCTCTATGGAAGAAATGCTGCAATTCCTTAAGTGTGTTTTTTTTTGCTTCTGCATGTGTTCCATCTGAAATACATTGTATAAATATATGAAGGATCGTTTATTAGTTTAAATCCATTTTTGTGACATTCTTTCTTTTATCTAGCTTCATTCAATAATAACACTTTCTAAATTGCTTAGATATCATTAAAACAAAATCTCACATTTACTGGTCATTTATACATAATGAAGTTAGGTGTCCATTATTTTTGCAATGTATTTTATTTACTTCTTGAATTATCAATTTTCTTCAAAGCCAATGTAAAAAAATTACTTAACATTTAAAAAAACAGAAGGACATTTGCACGTTGTCACTTCTGATGAATGTAATGTGATACTTAAATTATAGTCACTGCTCAGTGATGCCAGGTGCATGCACATGCAATGTTCTGTTGCCCTTCAGTGTAATGGCATTATTTTATCATTTGTCCCTGGGACTGATGAAGGCATCAGTGTAATGTAGTGTTGACATTCCTGTTAAATATCTGACTGCTTCGGTTATCCTTCTCTTGTGTCAATGTAATTGCTAGAACTGGATTGTCTTGTTACATCTCAAAGTGGCCTAGTTTTGAGGTGGGAAGTATGCTCCAAATCTTCATTGGATGAAGAGAAATGACAGGAAAAATATAAAATGTTGGTTTGGGAAGAATAAACAGATTGGATATTGATTAAAGGAAATAGAATGCATTGTTATCTAGTATGCCATTGCAACTGAATTTGGGGTACTTATCAGTATGGTTAAGGGATTGACTGTCCTTTTGGACGGACCTATGCAGGTAGGGGAATGGGTCAGTAAGATCATAAAAGTCCAGAAGGTGTACCTGGCACAGACATGTCCAGTGGAGTGATACAAGACTGGGAACCTGCTCTGGTGAAAAGAACTTATGGTTCCTGGTAGTAATCCGAGCAGTGTGTCTTGTCAGTGACATGCTGGATGGCATCAACAGGAGCATAAACAGTTGAGAAGGATATATGTTGGAAGATAATATTCCTTTTTTTTTTTCAGCACTCCTTAGAATGAATCTAGAATTTTTAATCCAGATTTATATGCCCTAATATTAGGAATGACATCAAAAAACTGCAGTGGATAGGACCACAGATGATGGCTGGAGCACAGGAGCATATCTCTAGTGGGGAGAGGCTGAGGGGAACTATGCTTATTGAGAATGGAGGAGGGTGAAGAGGAGGCTAAAAGCTGTTCCAACTAACTAGTAAATATGCAAAGGTTACTGAGAAGATTCTTTACAGAAGTATATGGTAGGGGAATGAGAGAACATGATAAAATAATTAGGCATTGAAGAGGTTACCCAGAGGTGATTTACTCTGTTTCTGGAAGTTTTCAAAATCTAACTGTATGGAGCTGTAAACAATGTGGTGTGCGTTCATTGTTTAGTCATTTCAAGCAGGAGGTTGTACTAGATGACAATGGAAGGGTGATAACTTTGATTCAATAATATTCTTTGTAAAACAGTTCTTTTGAGGGAACTTCTCAGAATGATGGTATGGTGATTTATGTAGGTATTCTGTACCTAAAGTGTTGTTGCTATTACAAATTATGGCTTCCTTGCTTAATAGTTGACTGTTTTCCATTGAATTCAGCTCGTAGTCTACTTTTATTAATTGTTAATTTTAATTTTCCAATTCGTCCTTGCTTATGAATATGTGTGTGCTTAACTTTATTTTAGTTTGGTTATTTTTGTCATTTTTTTGTTTGGCAGACCTCAACTTTTAGTCTTGTTAAATTTGGATAATGAGCAGTTAGTGAAACACCCTAGATTGCTTTCTTTCACCTCTCAGTTGAAGGCTGGTAAAGGACTGACTATCGTGGGCTCTGTTCTTCAGGGAATCTACTTAGATAAATGTACAGAAACTCAGAAAGCTGAAGAGGTATGTAAAAGACATTACAATACTTGTAATTTACATTAGTATTTAAATGTTGAATCTGGATTTGGGTAACTCATATATTGAATTAAAAGACACTGTTGTAAAATATTGAATAAAGCATCTAATTTTGCTATCATCATAGTCAATGATTTTATAAAAGAATAGGTTGGTGTACATAGCAAAATGTTTTATAAGATTTTCCAGTAGGATGAGACAATGCAGCTACTTCTTAGCTTTTTATTTTCTTTACTATTGAGAGCCCTGGTCTTAGAATCAAATTACATTCTTGAAAAAAAGCCCACAAATGATAGAGTTTTAACAAATTACCTTATAAAGAAAACATATTACGTATATTTAACAACAATTTAAGATTAAACTAACAAATGCAGATGTTTGGCATAATACAGTATTAATGATGTGATTTTCTATGTGCTAGAAATACCTAGCAAAATTAGGATTAGGAGCGGTCTTTGCTGGAAAAGTGTGAACAGCATCCTTCTTGAGATCCTCTCTTTTTTTTCTTTCCTATTTATCTTATGTCTCCAGGGAAGGTAGGATGAAGTAGGAAAAATAATAGATGTCATGTAATTGAAGATGACATCTAACTACAGTTAATTAATGTAAGTTAATAAACTAATTTACAAACACAAGTGAATTTAATTTGAATGTTTCTTGAATAATAGAAATTGTATTTGATTACCTATGTGAACTCTCCTACTCCTATTTTTATAGAATGGGGAAACATTTGGAGAAAATTCCGTATTTCCCATATTTTATTGAATAAAACATCCAAAAGTAGGTTTTGATTGCCATTATATCTTCCATATTAGGTTAAACTCTTTGGTGTTGATCAAAAGAGTACCAATTGATATGTCTATTGTTTTGATCCAAGTAGTCTACAAAGCTGTGTAAAAACACCTGTGATTTATTCAGACCTGATATCTCTAAAATAGATGAGCATTTGAGATGTTGAAATGGATTTAACATAGGTAACTGCCCATTTTCTCTCAGTTTCTTTTTTCTCACTCTTGGTATTCAGGCTTGTCCATAGTGGTTTTTGAAATAACAAAGTATAAAACCAGATAGATGATCTATCAGATATCTCATGAAAAAGCTTTATGAGAGCAGTTAGCTTGAAAACATGGTGGGAAAAGTCTGGCAATTGATACATTGTGAAAGTAGTATTATTAAACTGTTACTATCGACATGGGTGAGTAGAGAACAAGACAGAGAATACAGATTGGGACTCTGAAATAGAACGAAAATAACCCTGTTAAACAAAAACTGTTTTTCCACAAGGATTTGAAATGTTAGCTGTACTTGGCTTAACTTAAAGTCAGCTATGTTTCTGAGAGATGGAAAAGGAATGAATTTAAGGGAGGCATAATCCATGGGATCTCTAAGAAGTTAGACCTGCTGTTAAGACTCAGGAAACTATTGCTTTTAAAATGGAAATGAAGAGGAATTGTAAAAGTTTAAGCATCTGAAGGCCTCATTTGTTCTGGAAAATTTACTAGAAGGTGTTTCTAGGAGACCTGTAGGAAATCAAGATTCTCCTGGCTATCTCTTCAAAAGAGAAAAGTATCTATTTAAACTGATATACCTTCACAGATACTGTTTGCACAGAAAGACTTGTTAGTTCTGCTAGCATATTCTCTAAAGACTTTTCTCTCTACTAAACAGTTTCTGATGTTAGTGCCAGGCATACTGTGATGATGTTTCTGATGATTTTTGACAGGAATTTTGGTGCGTCTAAAACTCCAAATATTGATGTACTGGTTCTTCCTTCTGAAACCATGCAGATTCCCCACACAAGTAATTGATAATGATGGAATTGTTAAGATTATTTAATCAGAAAATAGTAAATGCCAAAGCTGATGTTCCCTAGTCAACCCTGATACCATTTTGAATGCTTCTTTTAAATTACTTGGTTATGTGTCTGCATGTTTGTCAGTGTTCAAATAAGGAGAGCCATGTTGAAATTAAAGGGGTGTGGGATATTTAATCTGGTCTGTTTATCTTGTCATTATTTAGACAGTGAATCCAATTGTTTTCTACACATCTATTTTTCCATGTTGGGAGCTGATAAATAGTCAGCCTCCTAATGTCAAAGGTGTCTAAGGAACTTTGGCAGCCTGTTCTTCTAAAGTACTGACATCACACTTTTCCAAACCCTTCCAATTCCAAAAGAAAGAACTTGTCATTCCAACCATATGTTGCTTTGTCAGTCAGTGGGTTTGCTTTTACCTGAAGCAGTGTTACTTTATTTATCTTTATCAACGAGTTTTTACTCATGTCTTGTTCATTCTTCTTTGAAAATAAAAGGCTGAATAACTAAAACAGTGGAAAAACTGTGTGTGGTGTCTCTTGGCGAGATAGTGTTTTGGACTCTAGTTTTCACAGAATAATGTTCACTCTCTTGGAATGAATGATTCCTTGATGTTATACATTGTTGATAAAGTTTTACTGTTATTTAGTGCTGTCACTCCTTCTGGTGTTTACTATAAGTGTTGATGATTGTATTTTCCCATGTGTTATCTTTCTTTTGCAGAATGTTAAGGCCTTAATGGGAGTAGAAAAGACTAAAGGATTTTGCCAGATTGTTGTGTCTCCTAGCTTCAGAGATGGAATATCCTATTTGATTCAGTCAGCTGGTCTAGGAGGGATGAAGCACAACACAGTACTAATGGCATGGCCACAGTCTTGGAAGCAGACAGAAAACCGTTTCTCCTGGAAAAATTTTGTTGGTATGTATTTATTGACTTTCTCCTTTGCATTTTTTATTCAAGTGTGTAACTAATATATTTGCTGTGTGGAAGAAATATGATATGAACATCTGTCAGACAATAGAATATTTCCCCATATCTGATTTTATTTGGAGTGGGTTTTCTCAGCCCTCTTCAACCATGGCTTTGCTTTTTCTTCTCCTAAGCAGGTTGGTCACTAAATCCAGTGTTATAGTTTAGGAATGGTACTCCCCAGTTTAGTGTTCCCACTGAGACTCTTCCAACCGTACTGCTGCTTGCTCACTCTCCCCAACTCCTCCCTCCTGCTGCAGGCTGGAGAGGAGAATTGGAGGCACAAAAGGTAAAGATCACAGGTTAAGATAAGAACAATTTACTGGAAACAGCAATGAGATAAGAAAATGAACAGTAACAGCAACAATATTAGTAACAATTACTAATAGAAGTGTACAAAAGAAAGAGTGCAGAAATGCTCACTGCAAAGCTTAACCTGACGACATCCATGCCACCCTGTTTACTCACTCCTGCTCAGAACTGGTGCCACCTGACCACTCCCTCTTGCTTCAGAACTGGTACCACACTTACTCGACTGGAAGGAACTGCTTCTTCTTCATTGAGACTCTTCCCCCTGCCCCCAGTAATGACATGATGTGATATAGAACAATCTTTGAGTCCTAGCCATGCCCCCTCCTGGCTGCTGCAAAAATTAACCCTGTCCTGGCTGGAACCAAGACATTATCCACCCCTTATTTTATGCCATCTATGTCATGTCCAGATCGTACACCTTCCAAATATATACATCTGTATATATACATACACACAGAAAGGTATCTATATATACAAGCACAAGTATAATTTCTGTAGTCAATGGTTACCCCTCCATTGGGAACTCTGTTGGGTTCATTAGTCCATGACTTTGGGTTCTATCTGTCCTAGATGTCTTCCAGGGCAGGAGGGCTGGTGTGCTGTTGGGTGGTTGCAAGCTGCATCAGGAGTTCAGAGCTGGTATATCTAGAGTACTCCATAGTCACTGTTTGTGGTTAAGACCACCCCTCAATCACAAGCCCATTTGTAAGTTGCATCTTTTTCCTAATGACCTGAGTCATCATGGGCCCACTGAGCCAGAAATGTTGCCAGTCCAGATCCACCTGAGACATTTTAATCTTGGCAGCCCAATGCACCTGTCTATTGTTGCAATGTTCTTCAGTAGCCCAGTTCTTGGGTATGTGTACTTTTGGTATGATGTACTTTCACAGCCAACTCCTTTACCCAGACAGTGGTGTCTTGCCACAGTTCAGCAGCCCAGATAGGGTTACCTGTGTGCTCCCAGTTGGCCTTTTTCCATCGGTCTAGCCACTCCCACAGAGCATTTGCTACCATCCATGAGTCAATGTAGGGGTAGAGCACTGGCCATTTCTTTCATTCAGTGATACCTAAAACTATCTGGATGGCTTCCAAGTCTGCAACCTGACTTGATCCACCTTGTCCCTCAATAGCTTCTGCAACTCATACAGTAGCTTTCCATTTTTGATGGATCCATACAATACAGGAGGAACTGTCAATAAAGAGAGTGTATCACTTCTCATTTTCAGGTAGCTGATTATATGGTGATGCCTCCTCAGAACGTGTCACCTCAGTCTTCTCCAGACTGAATACAACAAGTGACCTCAGCCACTCCTTAGTGCCTAGGAAAGCCTGTGCTTCCTTCTTGCTGGTTGGTAGGGACACAGCTGCTGTTTTGTTAACCACATTCATTGGCATCTGACAATGTCCATCTTGCCATTTTACTCCTAAAAACTGAATTTCCTGGGCAGGTCTCTTGAACTTACTTTGCTTTATGGCAAAACCTTCAGGAGAATCTGGATTATCTTCTCCCCTTTCTCAAAAAGGTCCTCTACTCTGTTGCCCACATGATGATGTCATCAATGTATTGCAAGTGTTCTGGAGCCTTACCCTTTTCTACTGCAATCTGGATCAGTCCATGGCAAACAGTGAGGCTTTGTTTTCAGCCTTGAGGCAGTCAGTGCCAGGTGTACACACCCCTCCAAGTAAAAGTGAACTATGGTCTGCACTCTGCTGATACAGGAATGGAGAAAAACACATTAGCGGTCTTTATAGTGGCACTACTTGGCTGCCTTGGACTCCAGTTCTTAGTGAAGTTCCAGCATGTCTGATAGAGCAGCACTCAGTGGTGGTGTGACTTCATTAAGGCCATAAGTCTACTGTCAGTCTCCACTGGACTTGTGCACTGGTCATATAGGGCTATGAAAGGGTGAACAAATCTTGCTGACCACTCTCTTGCTCTCCAGTTCACAAATCATCTCCTGGATGGGAGATGCGATGGTAGATGTGATACTTCAACAGTGCACTGTTGTGATAGTGACCGGTACCTGTTGTTCTTTGACCCTCAGCAGTCCCACAGAAGAAGGGTCTTCGTAGAGACCAGGCAAGGTATTCAGCTGTCTGATTTCCACTGTCCCCACAGCAGATATCCCAAAAGCCCTTTTGGATCCTTGAAATACACTCTTCTGAGGTAATCTATGCCAAGGATGCATGGGACCTCTGGGCCAGTCACAATGGGGTGTTTTTGCTGTTTGTTCCCATGCTTCCTTCAGCTTCCAGTACAGTCAGCTGTTGGGATCCCTCTGCCACCCCAGAAATACAGATAGATTCTGCCCCTACATATCTTGATGGCATCAGGGTACATTGTGCACTGGTGTCAGCTAAAGCCTTATATATACTCTTGTGGGTCTGATGTGTCAGGCCATCAGATCCACACAGTACCTTTCCTCCACCTGGCTGGAGGCAGGGCCCATTTAATCCTGGTCATAGTACTCATTGCTCACTTCTTGTAAATATGAACTTCAAGAGGATCAGAAGTAACATCAGCCTTTGTATTCTGTCTGAGGACTTGCCCACTGGAAATTGGACCAGTGTTTATCCGTGAAGAATTTCCTGTGGTGGTTGTTGTTCATACATACCTGTGCTGCTAGGGCAGAGGTGGGTTTTCTATCCCACTTCCTCATGTCTTCTATGTAGTTATGCGGGTAAAATCACAGATTACCTCATGGTGCATAATCTCTCTCTTGAGCCAGGGCGTGCTTGCTCCCAATAGCAGAGACACTGTACTGGTGGGGCATGGGGCACTTCCTCTCGGAGTTGCTTAAATATTTCAAATCTTTCTGCAGTCTCGAACAGTCTTTCCACAGCCAAGGTGCAGATAGGTAGGGAGGAAAAAGATGAGCTTAATATTGCTGGAGTCTGGTTGTCATCTGAAGCACTCTTTTTTGTTCCTTTTTTCCATGACATCAATGCCACTGAGTTGGTATCCAATGAGGGTGTGCCCTCTATAAACTTCCACCACAGGGATTGCGTAGTCTGGACCTCATCTGGATCTACAGGGGACTATTCATTATTTGAATTCCTAGAGACTACCTCTAGCACAGCTAATTCTCTCAGGTACTGGATACCTTGCTTCATGGCATTTCACCTAATTGCATGCACTACTAGATCATCCTTGAGAGAATACCTTTCTCTCACACTGGACAGGAGTCACCTCCAGAGGCTGAGAGTTTCTGTCTTCTTACCAATCCCCTTGTCAGTGTCCACATCCTGGGGCAGAGATCCCAGTTGCTTGGCTTCACTACTGTCTAGTTTTATATCATGAACCACAATATCCCAGTATCAGAGCAGACAGGTCATCAGGGTCTCACCCAATTGGTGGCTAAAATGTTTTTGTGTATCTTACAGCTCACCCAGAGATAGGGATTGGGTGATTATCTCTGGCCCTGCCCCTTCCTTCTGTTGTGAGGTCCCTACTTCTTCTTCATCCATCACTAAGTGAACTGATTTTTTTCTTGGATTTTGTCTTCTATATTGGCATGACTGCTTCTGGAACATGTTCCTCTGGCTCAGCTGCAGTTTTAGTGGCCATGATGCCTCTTGGTCTGCTTTCCTCCTCTTCTCTCTGAAAGTGCTGTCTAGTATCGAGCACTGTCAGATAAATAGTAGCCAGGACCCAGCACAGTGCATAACTATGCTCCTTGCTGCAACTGCCACAACATTTTTCTTTCAAATATTCTGTCGCTTTATCAGGGTCCTGTAGTTGCTCTGGGGTGAACTTCTGAACCATTGGAGCAGAATGATCCTTCCAAAGCTGGGCCATTTTTCCCACCTTCCATGCCGCTCATATCTATCCACCCTTGGGACAAATCTCTGAATAACCTCCATAGAAATCTTTCTTGACTCTGAATATGATGTAGACTGCACTGAGGAGACCTGGTAGACTTAGCAACAAGGACATGCTTTCCTTAATATCCAAATGGAATTCAGAATTCTCAAAAGCTGTTGTAATGGGCCTGAAGGAAGAAAAAGGGGTGAAAAGCCGGGGAAAAACATCCTCCCCTGTCCTCCCCAGAGACTGGGTATGACTATTAATGGACTCCCAAAGGTTGCATCTGAGATAAATGTAGGAGAGCAACATTGAATACACATCCCAAATGAGCTCGTTGCCCTTGATGTTATGTTGTAAACTGATAGCACGTAGTACAGCAACAAAGCAATCCTGATCCCTCTCCCTACTCTGAAAAAATGTCACCAGGAGAACATATGGGAATATATATATAGGGCTAGGTACCACACCCACAGGAACAGACCAAGCAACATTGTGACATGTGACTATACCTAATACAATAAATTCTTGGATCAAATTTGTTTATAACTCACTCTGGGTAGATCTGTTGTTATCTCAACTCTCCGTGCCCGACATTGGATGTCAAATAAAGACAGTTGTAGTTTAGGAATGGTACTCCCCAATTTAGTGTTCCCACTGAGACTCTTCCAACTGTGCTACTGCTTGCTCACTCTCCCCCTTTCCCCTGTGGCAGGCTTGAGAGGAGAATTGGAGGCACAAAAAGTGAAGATCATGGGTTGAGAGAAGAACAATTTACTGGAAATGGCAATGAGATAGGGAAATGAACAGTAACAGCAACAAATATTAAAAAAATATACAAAAGAAATAGTGATTCACATGCAAAAATGCTCACTGTGGAGCTCAACCTGATCACAGCCATGCCACTCCATCCGCTCCCTCCAGCTTGGAACCAGTGTCACCGGACCCCTTCTTACTGCTCAGAACCGGCACCATCCAACCCCTCTCTCTGACTCAGAACCAGCACCACGCTTACTCCACTGGAAAAAAACCCTTCTCCTTGATAAGAGACTCCACCCTGCCCTTGGCAATGATGTGAGGTGGTATAGAATAACTTCTGGGTTGTAGCCACACCTCCTCCTGACTACTGCAGAAGTTAACCCTGGACTGGCCAGAGCCAAGACACCCAGGATATTCCTTTTTTGCTTCATTATAATCTGGGAGTGTTTAGGATTCTGAATTGAAAACAAAAACAAAAACTGTGAATGGAAACTAGAAGTTCTTGAGTAAATGTCTTGTTTTCCCTTGCAGATACTGTACGAGAAACAACAGCAGCTCAGCAAGCACTTTTGGTGGCTAAAAACATTGACTTATTTCCAACAAATCAAGAACGTTTTACTGAAGGAAATATAGATATATGGTGGATTGTTCATGATGGTGGTATGCTGATGTTACTGCCTTTTCTCCTTCGACAGCACAAGGCAAGGACAGCAGAAAATGGCTGGGATTTCATTTTGTAGCAATGAATGGTTCAAAGCATATCAAATTAAATACTCCTTCACTCTCTTAGAATTATGCATGGATAGCAATCACAGTGCTACAGATTGTTATAATATATCTTTTTATAGGTTTGGAGAAAATGTAAAATGCGTATTTTCACTGTTGCTCAAATGGATGATAATAGCATTCAAATGAAGAAGGATCTTCAGATGTTCTTGTATCATCTTAGACTGAATGCTCAAGTGGAAGTTGTTGAAATGGTATGTTACTACATATTTTTAAGGTGCAACTGGGTCTAAGCTTGGGAAAACACGTTTAGCTTTTTTTCAGATGAAGAGATGTTAACCCAAATATACAAATGCAAAGATCACAGTCCCACCAAGAACAAGAAGTTAAGCATCTTACTATGTCACAATGATAGTGTATGTGGTGGTGACTTTAATGGGTTTGTCAAGTAGAATTTGAGTTGTTTTGATTTTTGTTAATGCTTCCTTTATTTATGAGGCCTAGTCCATAGAGGTAGTTTATTCTGGAGGGAAAAAGCTTGAATTTTTAGAAGTGGAAGGCTGAATGTGCTTAACTAATAAGCCATGACATTTGTCATGAGAGAGGATGAGATGAGATGTCCATGTCTCCAACTGCTATATGACTATCTGTCTGGAATAAGGAATCCCTAGGCTCCAATGGGAGTGTGTCAGTTTTTGGCATTGCTAGCCTCAGCCAGGACTGAACAACAAGACTGTGTAGCTAGAGATTCACAAGTCAGTCAGTGACAAAATTAATTTTGTAACCTTTTTCCTCTTTTAAGTATGGGTTTTAAACTGCTAAAGAGAAAGGACTAAAGCTGTAGTCTGTCTAGACCCACTTTTTTTGGCAACCAAGGACTTCATTTCCAGCACTCAAAGGTGACCAGCGTAATGCCCATAGTAAGACGCATGATAAAAAATAACACCAGAATTTTTACTCATTCTGAAGTGGGATGAAGATGAGTCAATTGGTTCAAAACTTCTACCACCACTAGTTCCTAGAATGACCAAAACCTATCAAAACGATTTATCATGCTAATAACCATAAAGCAAATTTTAAAAATTGTTTAAGTTACTTATGAAAAATTTAGTTAGTATTTTAAACTAGGAAGTAAGATAAATCCTTTAATTTATTTTAATATTCTTTACTTAGAGTACTAAGTATAAAAAATTGAAATGCTGTGGCATGTGCAGTTAAAAGAACGCAAACAGAATGCCATAAAAAGGCTCAGCCTTGGTTCGATTTTGAGCAAATACAGTATAGGAAGTACTTAGTATTTATTCTTTTCTTATCTGGGTAATATTTAATCCTGAGGATCTCCCAAAGGATAAGAGACATGTCACAAGTCGGTGACAACACAGGTGACTGCTAGAGATTTTTACACTGTATTTTAGTTTTGAGCCAATGTGAGAATATATATTGTCATTTCTTCCTAATTGCTTCTGTTTGTGAACATTTCTCACTGATGAAAAGAGAATGTATTTTGTTGTGCCTCTGGACACTTTTTAAGGAAACAAGTGTGCACACATGCTCAGGTGGCAGCAATGCAGACTTAGTTTAAATAAGTGCTTTCAACTCTTTCTCACTTTGCAACCTAGCTGGAACAAACTAGTGGAAAGTCTGTTCCAAGTACCTAAAATTTAGATAAAACCACAATCATATTGTTACAGTAGGATAGTTCACTGTGTGAAAGTGCTGTTTGAAGAGTAAACTTTAAGAACAAGGACAGAATTGATTGATCAGTTATATGCTTGGTATTACTCTGATGCCATAAATACATCCAGGACTGAATGAATACAGGAATGAATGTGGTACACGTCTAAATGGTGTTCTTCCAAGTAGTACTTTTCCTCTGGTGTTTCTAATGCCAATTTCTTTTGCAGTTTGAAAACGATATTTCTGCATTCACATATGAGAAGACACTTATGATGGAACAGCGATCTCAGATGCTAAAACAGATGCAGCTGTCAAAGAACGAAAGGGAAAGGGAGGTAGGGACTTTGGCTTGACAAGATGTTCCATGAAAAGTCTGAGAGTAGTATTTCTTGGTGGTGCCTTCTAATCAGTTTCTAACTAGTCAAAACTTTTCATAATTGCATTCTGTATTTCTCTACTACTGGTTTCACTTGCAAGGTTAAAGTAACGTGGGGAAAGAAATAATTTTTTATTTGAAAAGATGTTAAGAGTTTTCCTTAAGATGAGGGCAAGTATTACTTAGCAAAACATTTGAGCATCAATTTGGAATATATTCAGAGCATTTCCAAACTGCATGCAACTGTATTGATTAGCTTTGAGTGAGATTTGGTCTTAGAATCATAAAATCATTTAGGTTGAAAAAAACCTTTAAATTGAGTCCAACCACTAACCTAACACAGACAAGTCCATCACTAAACCATGTCTCTAGTGCCACATCTACACATCATTTAAATACCTCCAGGGATGATAACTCAACCACCACCCTGGACAGCCTGTACCAGTGTTTGATAACCATTTCCATGAAGAAATTTTTCTTAATGTCCAGTCTAAACATCCTCTGGCACAACCTAAGGCCTTGTTCTGTCATTTGTTTCTCGGGAAAAGAGACCAACCCCCACCTCACTACAGCCTCTTCCAGGTAGCTGAATAGAGGCAGAAGGTCTCTCCTGAGCCTCCTTTGCTCCAGGCTAAACAACCTGAGCTTCTTCAACCACTCCTCATATATGTTACAAACACACAATATTATATGATACAAACAATACAATACAAATTTGTTCAAATCTCACTTTTTTTCATTTCTGCATTTTAAATGTTTTATAGATCAACCAATTTCTTTCTGGAGGTAAAATTAGGCCAACAAACCAATGATTCTATAATATCAAGATAGAAATGCTATGTTTGCTGCTCCCCTATTCTTACAATTTTGCATGGAGGGACAATCTTCATGCAACAGTATTTTCATGAATATTTGTAACTTTTAAAATCTTTTTCTTATTATTATCAATGCTTTTTAATGATATAAAAGGTAGTAAATGCTCTGATTTGCCATCACATAAAATTATTTCCCTTCCATGCCAAATAAAAAAGCTCTACTCTGTTTAACTGCTCATTTGTAAAACAGCTAGATTTTTTTTTCTTGTGGCTTTTCCTTTTGGTTTTAATCCTACATGTCAAAGCGGTTTGTTTTTTTAGGGTTTTTTCTTTTTATTTTTCCTCTTCTCTTGCTTTTTTCATTTTTCCACTTAAAAGGATATTTTTTAAGGTTGCTAAAAATGCCTATTATTCCTATAGCAATTAGCTGCTGTAAATTCTCTTTCTTGCACGTCATGGTAGTTTTCTTTTTATTTGAACCTTCCTAACATCCTTTCAGTAAAATCCCAAACTTTTCTGTCCAGCTTATTCAGTGTTACTGTTTCTTTATTGAACAGTAGTATTTTTCCAGTGGAGTTAGAATGATTAATCAAGTGATTCTATAGTGATTCTATTCCCTATATTTTTCTTTCTTTATTACTCATTTTATCTGCATGTAACCATTGCTATCATAGCTCCTGTTTGTTCCTTCATATCAGGCAGGGTAAAATCTGAGATGTTCAAAATACCACTGAATTTATTTCATGGTCTGAAGTAAAATCCTTGATAATTCCAAGAATCATGAGTACATACTTACTGCCTTGTCCAAGAATAAAAGTCACATCCATCTGTTTTTCTGATTAGGATATCTAAATCTACCTTGTTCTTTTTTTTTTCATCAGAAAAAATGGTTTAGTTATGTCATCACTTCCTCTGGAGCTGTGAGTTGAGTATATGCACTCAGGCCCTTTCTTAATATTATCATCTTCTCTTAAATGAGCTGAGACATCCCCTCCAGTTTTTTTGATGACCTCCAAAACTTTTATTTCGTTAGTATCACTGCTTCAAATTAGCATTGCTTTATTTTGCATTTTCTGTTTCTGGACATTCAAATATAACCTTTGTATAGTGAGTGTAATTTGTTTTCCTGTTACCACAAAGATTAGCACTTTAACCTCACTTTTGTGTATATATGCCTTCAAATGAGGCTCAAACCTTCTCAAAAAGGAGAATTTATTTCTTTACAGTATTCTTCCACTGTTTCCCTCACAGGCATGCTTTTATCCCTGAACCATCACCTTCCTTCTTCTGTCACTTTTTAAAAATAGAACTAATTTGATCTTGCCTCTGATCTTTTTTTAGAATTGGGGATCAGGAACTCATCAAATTTTTGTTTTCTTTTTTGAGAAACTTGGTTGATTTGTTTCTGTTCAAGTGTAAATATAACATGTGCCTTTAAAGCTTAAGATAAACAAACTTAGGTGCAACTGCCAAACATTTATTTATTTGACTTGACAATAGCACTACAAAGGTGAAAGAAAATGTAGAGCCTCACTGACTTCCTTGCTTCCCTTTCTGGTGGTTGTTGGCTTCTTTCTCTGGCTAATCCTGAGCAAGGACTCTCGGGCCAGGCAGTGGTAGTGGGACATGTGAGAAGGTAATTATCCATTCCACCACCACATTGTTGGTGTTGTACTGTTACGTAAGATTGGCAAAAATTTGGATGCGTGCAGGTGAGGAACAGAGTTATAGTTTGTGAATCACTGGTTTTTAGAGTTAGAAAGTAGCTTTTTCATATGCTTAAATTTTTTCATACTTTTGATTGTAGGTAAATAAAATCATCTGAATATATACAAATATGAAGGGATGTGACCCTCACGAAACAAGTGAATATTTGAGCTTCCTATATAGCCTGGACTCAATTGGCTTCATGTTTTCACAAATGTCTGTAAAGGGACTTAATAATTAACTACTAAACATTTAAAAAGGAACCTCATAAGCTGTGATACCATATCTCATCTATTTAAAAGAAAGATAATATGATCATCTGCTTTCTTTCTGTAGACCTTTTTTTTGTCATTGGTAACCTTTTTGTCCCAGATTCAGAGCATCACTGATGAGTCTCGAGGCTCAGTCAGAAGAAAAAGCTATTCCAGTCCACTGTCTATTGGCCAAGATGCCCAGGCCCTGCTGACTAATGATTATCAAGAGGAGGAGGTAGTTGGACATAGAGCTGGCTAGACATATTTTCCCATTGCAACACTTGAAGTGCCACTATTGCAAACTGAACTACACATGAACAACTTAATGAATAATTATGGAGCAGTTCTTAATAAATTTTAATTTTACTATTTTTTTAAGTTCGTTATCTTGCGCTGGTTTTTTTTTTTTTGACTCTAGATGATGTTTCTGCAACATGAACTGCATTATCTTTCTCAAACTTATTTTCCATAAAAGAAACATATTTCTGAGAGTGCCTGTTTTTCTTAAGGGCCAGAAGCAGGATGTTTCATTGATAAGCATATTTCATGCTTTCACAAGCTATTGACTTCCTTTATAGTTCCTATACTGAAGTACTGAAGCTTCTGGGAAACCGTCTTGATATACTAGGTCATTTAAGGAGATTTCTATGCTTATTTGCAAGCCATCATTAAACCATAAATGTCATTATTACATTCTACATGGATTTCTGAAAGGAAATGGACTGATGTGATCAATGATTTTAGGGTGCACTTGAAGTGTTGCTTTTATCTATGGATGTGTAGCCTAGTTTGTAGAAGTGCTGTATACCTTTGTGTTTCTCTTCATGGAGTATGAGAACAACATGTGTTTCGTGTATTTTAATTTGGTATCAAAATAGCAGTAACAAGAAAGTGCTTTCGTTATCTTTGGATTTTTAGAAACATGTGTCATAGGTCCAGAATTTCTCTTGGCCTCACTGTCTTTCTAAAAATGGCAGATTATCTTCCACTAAAGCATAGTTGTACTGAACTCATCTTATGGTTGTTACTTTGAAAGTTTAGTTCATTGGATACTGCTGCATGGTATTTACAGTATTGACATGTATTTGTTAGCTTTTTTCATTCTCATGATAGAACTGTATTCACAGTAACTTCAAATTTGTGATCTTGACTCATGATTTAGTCACCTGTTGAAAAAGGAAGACCGTCAAACAAATAGATATTTATGCGAACCTCAGAACTGAACTCTGGGATTTGGGAATCCTCAAGGATAGGGACTAGGGAAATAATTTAGGGAATACAGAGAAACTCTAAGGCATTTAAAACCTGCTGCAATTACAGTTTGTGAACCATTAGAGGAATGGCTGTTCAGAGATCAAAAGTAGTATTCTCATCTGTTTGGTTTTTATTCATGCTTTTGATTGGCCTGAGTGAAATCAATTCTTCTGAATCATCATATATGTGGAGAGACGTAACTATGTCTAATGTGAGTACTTGAGGTTCCCAAATGGAACAGGAGCTTCAACTCATGATTTATCAAGTCTCTGAATAGCTTTCAGAACTGTTAAATATCTTAACAAACAAACAAACAAACAAGACCACAGAAAAAAGAAATGCCACCTCCAAAACAAAAAGCTCCAAACTACAAAAAGAATCCTCCCCACCCAAATACCAATTCACTTAAAATTTTAAGAGTCTAAGGTACTGTATTTTTATTGCATTTTATGGAAATGGAGAAGCCTATGGACAAAGTATTATGAGGGAAAGTAAATAATGTGTTCAATATTTCATCCCTTTTTTCTTAAGAGCAAGGGGGATGGAAAATGAAGAACACAGAAGTGCATATGCATGTGGGAAGAATAATATTAAGTTCTTGAAGTTGATTTGAGTTTCTACTATTCGAAGGGAAGAGAAGGTTCCTTCATGATTATATTGATTGGATTTTGTTACATAGTATGCTCTTGCATGCATAAATAATGTAACCTAATAACTAAATCTATAGCTAGCCTTCAATATAGCATGTCCCATATTGAGTTCATAAAGTCATGTGATAGTTCAGGTAAAGGCATGCGAAATGGACAATGTTTACAGCAGTATCTGAGAAAATAACTGGGGAACAATGAGAGCACTGGCTTTTAAGTTTTCACTGGCAAAACACCTTGGTGTAAATAAAATACCATCTGCTGAGATTCAACCTAACTTTAGTTCATTACAAAAATAATCATCTAGGTCAGATGTAATCCTGCAAATTAGTACATTTTTACAAGCGGTTTCACTTCATGCTGAAAAAACTTATGCTGAAAAAACTTCATGCTGAAGTGCAACTCTCTTGCATTTGTTTTGCAAAGGAAGGTGGATTTTTCTGTAGCTTTTGTTCCATTGCTGTGAAATTCCTTTTCAAAATTTTAATAATGTGTAATTCACAAATGCTCTTTTTGACTGGATCTTGGGATGATTATTTGGTTTGTGACCAGGCCCAGCTGATCCATGATAGAAATACTGCCTCGCACTCTGCTCCAGCAGTTGAAGCAAGTGTGGCTGCTACTGTGCCAGAAAAAGTGCAAATGACCTGGACTAAAGAAAAGTTTGCAGCTGAAAAGCATAAAACCAAAGATTCAAATGTATCTGGGTTTAAAGATGTTTTCAACATGAAGCCGTAAGTATACTTATGGTTTTGGGAGTTTTGTGTTTCGTTGTGTGTATTTTAATGTGTGGGATTTTTTTATTTGATTATTTTTGTTGTTTTCTAGGGTTTGTTTTTTAAGAGATTCTGGTTTATTTAAAACCGAATTACAAAATAATCTCTTTATGTGCTTCACTTAAATGTCAGCCTTACAAAAATTGCATGGACTTGGGTGAAATAATAGTGACTTGAAAGAGTCATTCACAGGAATGTAGTGAATGAAGCTTAAATAACAGATTTTAAATTGTAAACTCAATTTATAGATTGTACCAGAAAGCATCTATATTAAAATGCTTAATGATAACTTTAGTTTTACTCTCTTCCTGTGGGTGACAAAGTACTGTATATGTCTTATTTACTGTGTTTTGTTGGACTAGAAGGAGTACCAAAGAAGCAGATAGTCTTTCAACACATTTAACTTACAGTTTTGGGTGGATGTTTTTTGAGTGTGTTTTATTGTGTGGGTTGTTTTAGTTTTGGTGGCTTTTTTATTGGTTTGTGGGGGGTTTTGTTGTTGGTTGTTGGGGATGTTTTGGGTTGGTTTTGTGGTTGTTTGTTTGCTGGTTGTTGGTGATTTTTAAATGGACATTCGGCCCTCGTCCTGTAAATTAAAGCATTATAAAACTTGTGCAAATATCTATGCCTTGCTATATTAAGTATTTCCTGTTTAGATATTCCTTAATGACTTTTTCTTTAAGAGATAAGAGCTATTGCCTGTGTCAAACCAATGTAGTAGACACAAAAGCAGTGACAGAAAGAAGTCACCTTGTTTGCATCCTCATCTTGTGTTTTTAAGCACACACACACATTTTTTTTGACTTCTGGAAGAATGCACTTAGAAGCATAGCCTAAATTATTTTCTACACATGACCAAACCAAATTCTGGATGTCAGGTGAAATCTTAATATCTAAAGAAAACATCTTAAATCTAGGACTTGTAGAAAATAGAGTTAGAAAACGTAATTAAAATCAACACCTTAAAATCCTAAGTTGTTTTGTGGATTTGCTTTGACCTCTTTAGAAACAGTCTACCTTTTAGAAATTCCAAAAATTATCTTTCTCATGCTCTAAAACATTGTTCTGGGTTTCATTATACTCTAATCCTTAGGATTTTTTTTCATTAATGTTTAAAAAGTATTTCCTATTACTAATTTAGAATCTGTGCAAGACACAGATTTCAGATTTTTTTTTTTTAAACTAGAATGTGTAGTTGGGGTAGAAATTACAGTTCAAAGTTGGTGTGCCTGTACAGTATGTTAGTATTGTTTACTTTAAAATGTATCTGATGGCAATTGTTTTTTCTATGCATTTGCTTCCCTTTCACATAGAGAATGGGGAAATCTGTAAGTCTAATTTTCATTTCACTTAAGCAACATAGACTGTGTTCTCTGCTTCTTGTGGTCCTGTACATTGTATGCATGTTTCTATCTCATAATTTGCAGTGCCTTTATTCTTTTGTTCCTTGTTTAATATACTGTGAGTTAGCAAATATCATGGAAAAAAATATTCATCATTGTGACTTGTTAATGTTCTCTTAAATGTTATCAACTTCCTATTCAAGGTAAGTCACAAAACATGTGGTTTAGTTTCAGTAAGAATGTCAAACTTGACAGTACTCCTCTGCACCAGTTTAATATTTCATTTTCTAAGTAACTACATTAAAAAGTGAATGTGTTTTTATTCTGGAAAAATAGCCCCCCATTGTGATACAACTAATTGGACAGTAAGGGTTATTTGTTCACAAAGGAAACTTGTGTTTCATCAAAAGTCAGTTCTTGCCTGTTTTCTACCAACCAGTGCATGTGTAGAAATAACGTAAGTTCAGGCATACATTGGGTATGACAGCACACAAAAATGGGATAGTACTTCTTTTAAGTGGAACTCACTTGACTGCTGTTCTTTTTTTCAGAGTTCAGCATTTTCCTTCTTTCCTCTGTTTAACAAGTTGAGCTTCTTACAAAAATTTAGGAAGCTTACCTTGTGTACCATGTATGGTTTAAGTTCTACCCGTGCTTGAAGGTTAAGTGATGTTACTTAGCCTCAGTTTACATTGTACACAATGCAAGCCTTTATTTTAGTGCTGAATTTTTGCCTCCTCTGCCACAAATTTACATCTTGCATTTGAGTTTTAGTTGAACAATGTTTCAGCTTCAATATTTGTACATCTCAGTTACACACTCATGCTTTTCTTCATAGTTGTTCTTTGGTGTTCTCAAGATGCAGTTCTCCTGCAAAATGGAGCTTCAAGCATTCTGTTCCATATTTGGTTTTTGTACAGTTGGTTCTTAGTATAGATGACCACTGTGATAGAAAATCCCCCAAGAGGGACTGATAAACTCAGCTTTAGAAATGTCATTCTCTCGTGGGGGGAAGATTGGCGATAGCAAAGGGGAGAGAATCAATTAAATAGATAGGGCTAGTCTCCATTGTCCACTAAACTTCAGGCCAAATGCCTTTTACTTTCTGTTTGTAAAGCATCTACTTTTGGGCAGCAGATATTTTGCATAAATGAGCTAAGGGAGAGTTTGAATATTTTTGTCACACTGTAGCGCATTTCTGGTCTTAACTAATTTTACACAGATAGCAATTTCTCGGGAACTGTAAAGACACTTCTTTTGTTTTGTTCCAAAAAACAACTGAATCGTACTGAAATAAGTTCATCTTTGAAACCCTAGCAGTTTTTTCTTCTCATGCACAAATTTACAACAATTATATTTGTAGATGCAACAAGGAAAACATTAGTTAATGTTAATAATTTAAGGGGAAAGACTCAATTTCAGTTCAGTGCTTGCTGCCTTACTCTTATGACATGCAAAACTAGTAATTTTTTCAAAATGCTATGGTGTTTCTGAATTTTCTTCACCAGACTATAGTAATTTACTAATGTTTCTAAAGGACCATGGGTAAAATCTTGCACTACACAACATAAATACTGTAATCTTTCCAGTGCTTGCCTGTAATTGCCTTGTTTGGAAATTCTTGTATAAATCCAGTTACTTTTTTATGTGAGTCACTAAACTGGATTCTCAGTGTTTTCTGACAGAACTTTTACTTCTGTTGACAACAAGGTTTTGTTTCATCTCATTAAAAGATAACTGACAACTGGAAAATTTGTGCATTTTGGCAATCTGCTTAGAATTCTTTTAATTTCAGAGTTAAATGTTCTTTTCAAATTATTGCATTTTCTCATTTGTTTTGAATGTGTACAAATACTGGTGTCCATGAAAATAGTTTATTATATATGCTTATAGATTAAACTTATAAATTCAAGTAAGTAATGTATAATTCAAATGTGTAAGTATTGTAACAATGCTTAAAAATATTTGTTTGCATGCTAGAAATCAGTCAAATGTGAGAAGAATGCACACTGCTGTGAAGCTTAATGGAGTAGTGCTTAATAAATCACAGCATGCTCAGCTAGTTCTCCTGAATATGCCTGGACCTCCTAAAAACAGAAAAGGGGATGAAAACTGTATCCACTACTGTATTGACTCCATATTTCTTGAAATGGGGAATTTGATTTTTGTGATTGTGCCATTGCCTTTGGGGTAACTGTCAATAACCGTGGTAAACATAAGTTTGCCTCTAAGAAAATGACCTTTGATTCCACGAAGAAAGTTCAAAAAAGTATTGATAGCGGTAAGGGGGTTTTATTGATACAAAGCATTTCCAAATTTTGAACTAATTTTAAAATCTCTTATTTTTATCTTTTCTGTGGGTAAGTAGGGCAGAACCAGGAATTTGTGCCAACTTAGGCCTCACTTCCCTTTGAACAACCAGGTAACGGGACAGTAAAGGTTGACAGAGGAAAACTCTTTGATTAAATGTTGAACTCAATATTTGCATTGTATGTCAGACTTTTTGAGTGATTACTGGATATTTTGTTTCTCTTCTGAATAAATTCCTTGACCTAATGATACTGCAGACATGGAGTTTCTGGAAGTTCTAACAGAAGGTCTGGATAGAGTTCTCCTAGTCCGAGGCAGTGGACGTGAAGTGATCACCATTTATTCTTAATCTGTTTGCACATGTTGTTCAAACATAACACACACCCCCGATGAGAAAACCAAGTTATTTGCCATAATTTAAGCAGCTTCATTATGTGTTTTAGTGCATTGAAAATTATCTGCAAGCTGAATCTTCTGATGTTGTGGGGTTTTTTTCCTATTAAAGTGTTATATTGAAGTAGTATTTTAAGCAGATAGACTTATGTAGAAAATACTTCTACAGTGAATTAATAAATGGTGGATGGGTTAGGATATTTATATTTAGCAAATTCTGACACTTGTTAAGCTGTGGTGAAATACAAGAAGAATGGTAATGTGATGGTATTTTTAAACATATAGAAATGTAAGCATCTTTTGATTATTTTAATCTTTGTTTTGTGTCTTAATAAAGGGAAAAGTTTTAGGAAAGGTTGTCTTCTTTCCATACTGAAATACTGCAGAGATGTATACAGTCACTCAAACTTGTATATTATGTGCATAAGGTATTTCCTTAATGTTCATGATTTGCCACACTTGTTAAAAATAACATTTCTGTATTTAAAATACTTAGTCAGGTACCTGAAACCTGCAGGACACAGTAAATAGACAAGCTGAGTGGTTTTTTTTCCCTGAGCTAGTTATTGCATGACTATACCAATGACACATGTAAGCATCCAATTCATAGGAAGGCTGTGACGCAGAAACTCTACCTGGCTCCAGTTATAATTGTACCCATTGATAAATCACAGGAAGTTTAGGATATATGTATATTTTGAAAATGTTTTCTGTATGTGCTGCTGTTTAAAATAAAATCTACTTTTCTGAACTGAATGAACTCTTAGTTTTGTAAATATTTTGTAGATTTTTTTTTTTAGTTTGGTAAATGTTGTTTAAGGCCTTAAGTGTTTGTTTGGTATCAGAATATTGTTCTACTGTAAAAAGAAAGACATTATTTATACACATAAACTATTCTGTTAGTTCCTTTTCTTTTTCTTATTCCTTTATAAGGAAGGCAAGGCAATGCGGGGGCAGGCAAAGCCAGGAGAGTTAAGGGTATGTATGCAAGGCAAGGCAAGGGAGAGAAAAAGTAGGCCACCTAAGGCAAGGTGTGGGTAGGCCAGGCACAGAGAGATAGGGGTAGGCAAGATAAGGAAGTCAATGGAGAGGCAGGCAAGGTGAGGCAAGGGAGGGCTAGGAAAAGGCCAGGCAAGAAAAAGGAAGTTAAGTAAAGGCTGTATGTAAGGGACTGCAAGGGAGGTAGAGAAAAGAGGGAAAACAGCTAGGCCCAGTGTTTAAGGTACAGAGTATAGGCTACCCAGTGGACAAAAGACCAGCCCCAGCTTTCTCTTCTGCCACATTTGGTGTAGAAAATACAAAGTGTAAACAATTTTGCTGCACGTTGCCCCTTTGATTCAGAACCTTGTAGTTGCACCACAATCAAACGCAGTCCCTTTCACTAGACAGCCTGTAAACTGCTCTCTCACTGCAGCGCTCTGCACCTTCCTTCTCAGCTGCAAGTCCTCTCACACACTTTCAAGGCTTGCAGAGTATGCATCTCCCTCTTGCTCTCGTGTGAGGCTGTGTAGCTACTCCTTCAGCTTTAGGAGACAGAAAGTGCCTGACTATTCTTGGAGTTGAGAAAGAGGGTGCAAAGCAGGAGTCTAAAGAAGCCTTCTCATGGCACATAGCTCTGTGTGAAATGGAGTTGGAAATTTTTGCGTTTACAAGCACATGGCAGGAGAGACAGAATGGGAAAGTCCGAAGTGCTGAGAAAGACAGTGCAAGGCTCTTGCCTCCTTCCACACAAGCAGTTTGACTGTGTGCCAACACCTCTTTTGCAGTGGAACAGAACACTTTGCAGCTCTAGCTGCAAAAGAGAAGTGTGCCAAGAAAGAAAGCTTTTGGTGACCTCCCCCCTCTAATTGCACCCTTCCATGCACTCACAATGGCATGGCAGTCCTTTTTGCTTTGCAGCATTTAAACACTACCCACCCCACTGTGCTGCTCCTTCCTCTCAGCTAAATGTAGCCTGAAACACTTTCCACAGAGTCCACACTGTCCACTCCAGCTCCTGCAGTGTAGCGTGACGACCTGGTTCGGGAAGGGCACGGTGACCACCTCTTGGTCACTCGGGCCATTAACTCACAGACACCAATGTGGTGGACGGTAAAATGGCATTTATTAGTTTGTAACACGGCCTTTTATACTATTTAGCTACACTGTCACTTCCGTCTGCTTACGTTATCCCCTAGATACTATTGGTTATCAGGCATTGGAGGGGGTTGGTCCCTGTCTTTCCGTACATACCGAAATCTTCCGAACGCCAGGCCCTGTCTACCCACACTGCAGAGTAAAAGAGGCTGGGGCAAAAGGAGTTGGTGCCTTAGCCCTTCTCCTTGCAGCCTTTTGATAACACGCAAGACTCAGACACGTTACATCTCAGGCACAGACCCCATGTGTTATAAGGCAATCATTTATTACAGTTCTTTCACAGTTTATATACCCCATTACATTGGCAGTAAATTCCTGTTAGTAACTTTTCTCTATATCTACTTTTTAGTTAAGCATTCAATGAGCATGGGAAAAATACTCCCAAGCAGTTTCCCAGACAAATACATCTCACCACATCTGCTTTTATGTTGCCAAGTTCCACTTAAATTTCTCCCAGGGCCATATAATCTCACTTCCCTACACCTCCCCTTTCTTTATTTTCTAAGGCACTTAAATGTGTATGGACTTCTACCACCAAGGCTTGATGTATTGCCTTTGTGTCATAGATCATACAATCCCAGTCAAACATCGTAAACAGAGAATCATCCCCAATAGACCCAACACTGTAACCAAGCCACACATTAGAACCTTTTCACTCATGACCCTAATCCCAAAATTCAATCCTATACTTCAAAGGAGTTCTATCTGTCATTCACTGTCAGCTTCTTCGTTAGGTCCAGTAACTGCTGCAAGCTTTTGTGAATGGAGGTTGATTTGTCACTCAAATTCATGCAACACATTCCATCAAATTCTTTGCATCCATGCCCCTGTGCTAAAAGCAAAAAGTCAATAGCAGCTCTATTTTGCAAAGTAGCATGTCTCACCAATTCAGCATCGGTCAATATATCTGCAATAGCCTGACTAGTAGCATTTGTCTCTTTTGCTTACCAACATCCATCCTAATTTATTTAATGTAGCTGAAGCTTTTGCAGCTGCCACTCCAGTGTTAGGAAAGACACAGCAATTCTTGTCTCTTGATTCCACAATTCTATGTCATCCCTACACTTGTAAAGGTGTGTACATGTTTCCTGTACCTATTATGGTGTTAGGAATCACTGTTTTATTAGGAGTGATCAAGGTTAATTTTCCTATCGTACAAGGTCCTCTGATAATTTGTGCTGGTACCGAAGCCCAAGCTCTATCTCCACAAAGAGGAAAAGACCAGATGGTAAGGTCATGTGACTTGATAGGATACTGTTATCTACATGTGAACACCATAGAGGCCTGTTACTAAGTGGTCTGGTACCTGTAACATTCCGTGAGGTGCTAACATTCGTAAACATTATGCATCTGTGTGCACCCAGGGATCCTAAAAAGTTCTTGAGGGGTATTTGTAC